TAAAACAATCCTATGCTAACTAACGAAAAAAAAAAAAAGATGGCCCCCTCAAAGAATAAAATACTTAAAGGATAGTTATTCTCAGCAGTAGATGGTAGCCGTAAATTATTTCGTTAATGACAAGTAAGCTACAATTTCATTATAGATATTGACAGGCAATAAAACTATTATAGAAATTAAAAAAAAACGTATTATTACATTTTTAGGAAAAGAAAGAAGAGAGTAGTAAATTATGAGGCCTTTACTTAGACTGTAATGATAGTGAAATTGGACCTTTATGATCAAATAAATAGTCAAGCTTTGTGAAAGATGTTACAAACGGTCAACTAAAGGACTATCAAAGGAAGTAGGACATTAAGGTGGAAGAAGTGAAATAGTTTATGTGTTAATGAACTAATTAAAAAGGAAGGATAGTGAATCTTCAATTTGTTCTTACATTTAGAATAGACACTGCATCTGAAAATAGCAAATAGAATATGTGTATACATATATTTTTTCGTCAATAGTTATGTAAGTACATTTTGAGATGATTAGTTGTTGATTCGCTCTTAGATGCCCCTTTAAGTTGCTAATGGATACGCCTATTGCATTTAACATAGGACAAAGAAAACTAGAGGACGGGATCTATCGCTATGAATGACTTGCAATGAGTTAGTTGTTCTGACTTATTAAAAGTATTTCTACGTTGATGGTAGGATTTAACGATTAGCTTAATTTTCTAACAAGTTATTGAGTATATAACATACTTTTCTTTTTTTTTTTTAATACTAAAATTTTACAATAGTTAAGAATATTTTAAGGTAAAGCTAAGACTTTATAATACTTATACGATATGTTATCATGTATATCTAGTTAGTAACTTAGCTATTTGTAACATGACTTTAGTGTAGCTATGAATTGCTTTCTAATATCTCTATTTGCCTCATCTTCCAAATTATGACAATGAGAAAAGCTTTATTAAAAATAACCAAGTTGTATTATTATAGATGGAATTAAAATGCTAAACATTTATTGAATACTTTAAGAAAGAAATAGCAATGATAGTTGAAATGCAATTCAAGACATCAAATAAAATAAAAATAGATGTCTGAACTAAACGGTACACCAAGGTAGGAAATAGAACTGTTTCTCTGAATTGAGATACAGTATGTACATATATGATGTATATTTTGTTCATTTTAAAAGACCTAGAATAATATAGTTGACAAGGTTCTCTTCAATATTATAAGTCATAGTTTGGATGTCTTTGAATTTTATCTTCAATAAGTACAGCTTTATCAGTATAGAGTAAGCATTTAATTTGAAATAATAATTGAACAAATATTGTGTTAACATAAAATGACTTATATTGAAACAATAACGACGACTGATTGCTGATAAGAGTATCTCATGTAGAACAATAGTAAAATAAACTGAAAAGTAGAAGGATAAAGTATTGTTGAGGACCACATATATACCTTGGATCGAGAATATCATACATGAATTTAATACACAAGATAATAAATATTTTGTAAATGTTAAGTATTAACAATAAATACGCATACAATTTAATAAAACAGAAATATTCGTTTATCAAAATAGTTTCTTTCTACGTAATTTTAAACGACTTTTTGATTATTTGAGATTCGAGTTTAAATACTGTGCTAAACCAAACAAGTACAGACAATATATAATACAATTTCTTTTTTGCTTAAAAAGCGCCTCTCTTCTTTTGCTCCTCTGCCATCTTTCTAAACATTTCCATTGTAGCATTTTCCTTAGCTTTATATTCTTCCATTTTGCTTAAAATAGGAGCTAATTTTTGATTCTGTCTATCCTGTCTTCTTTCTTCTCTTTTTTCTCTTGCTCTTCTCTCTGCTGCTAACCTATTACCACGGAATAGATTCATTTATACACATCTTATTATATCTATCCATAAATATTATTCTCTTTACCTTGCTTGGAAATCATCACTTCCCATTAAATCAGCCTCAGATAATTCAATGTCAGGGCTACGTTCTCTTTTATGATACGCATTCAAAGCTCTCTTTTTTGCGAGTGCTGCTTCACGACCTATTTCCTTTGGTGCTACTTCATCTAATATATCTTCTCTTCTTTCTGCTCTTTTCCTTGCTTCATATTTACGATTCATTTTTTCACGTTCATATCGTTCTTCTCTTTCTATATATATATATATATAAGCTTAGTTTCTTGATTTTCATTATACAAAAAGTTCCAAAATTATACCTAATGTAAGTGTGTTACTGTCTGGCATAGTAGGACCTACAGGTTGTGTTCTTCTTTTATTGCTCATTTGTTTTTCTTTGTTGTTATTATTATTTCCACTTGTCATACTGTCTACACTATCGCGTACAGTATCCAACTCCCATTGATTATCTAATTTTTTTGCAAATGACCATTTATAACGTGTTGCATCTGAAGAATCAAGTTGAGTAGAGCTGATTCCTTTGTAAAATTTTTCTAATAACATATATATACTATATATTTTAATGTTGTCTCATCCATTTATATACGCATATATATATATATATATATATTTATATGAATACCATTTAATTCGTAATCATTCCATTTTTTAACAAACTTTCTAAAGTATCTTCTTGCATCTTTAGAACTTAATTCATCAAAATACTTGTGCTTATATTCTTTTAACCAAAGACGAAATTCAGTTGCTTTTTCAAAATAGTCTTCTTCATCAATAGCTATAAAAAAAATAAAATAAAAAAAAAATAAAATAAATACATGTATACGTATTATATCTGTTTATATATGTGTAATAACAAACATTGGCTTTATTTTACGTTTAATAGTTGAATTCAAAGAACTAGAAGTTTTGGAATGTTTAGCTGACTTGCTGCTTTTATCATACTCTTCGACTGAATCACGACGTCTTTTGTGGCTGCTACTTTTATAATCTTTCGAAGAAGATCCCATTGTGATAAAATAAAAGAATGAATAATTGAGAGAAAAAAAAATAAAATAAAATAAATAGAATTTATTATACGGAGAAAAAAAAATCTTATTTAGTATAAAGAATGAATTAATGGAACAAATGCAGCAGAGCATTTCTAAATAACCTTAATTACTATAATAAACAATGCTATGCTCCATAAAGATGAATCATAAAGGCTACATATTTAGAGTAAAGAGAGGGTTCAAGCATCTTTACTTATCCCTTTTATTTTCCATTCTTAAACGGTATAGGCCCGAGATTAAATCTTTATTTTATACTGATAAGCTGATGGGAAATCAAAAATTCGAGATATAATTGCTTAGGCATTCCTTCGAAAGTTATAAAGAATTACGCTTACCATTTAATCATCTTCTCCTCCCCTCCTTTTTTTTTGACTACTAGAACACTATAGATGTTGTGGAAAAGTGCCTTACAACACTCATCATACTCAAACTTGATATATTCTTGACAACCTTTTTTTTTTTTTTAAAAAAAAAAAAGCCAATATTCGTATTCATAAATATTATTTATTATAAAGTTATATCTCGACGATTGGTTTATTTTAAGTGTATGTAGTGCCATAAGTTTGTCCTTGGTTAACAGCTTGTGTACGTGGAGGAGCCATTTGTTGGAAGTTTCCTTTATCTCTTTCTCGAATAAGCACATAAAAGGCGTGCAGATGACCAGGAATATATCCTAATAACGTTAAGCATCTATGCATAAACAATATAAAGAATTAAAGATAATGTGCATAGCAAATGTTATCATTCTACTTTACACATTAATCCAGAAATCACCACCACATCCTTGCATCAGAAAGACTCCCAAAGGAGGGAGAAGGATAATAATTAAGATTAAGCAACAGGTACCGATCATTGATTTATTATAAAGTTGTTTGTAAAAAGGAAAAGAACAAAAAAAAAAAAAAAAAAAAATGTTAATTTTAAAAGGAATGTTTATTTAGAAAGAATGAAGTCATTCTTATTAACCAATCAAAAATCCTGGAGGGAAAAAGACTTCTTTTAGATTACCAAAGAAGCCTTTGTCATAAATATTATCAACTTCATCTAAACTTTCAATTCTCTTTTCTTCAATAATTGCTTCTTCTTCTTCTTCTTGATTTGATCGTTGTTTATTGTACCTCAGACTGTAATTAGCCGTTGTTTGGCTTTTTACATTGTTAACTTTAATGACCGATTTTCTATAAAGCTCACCTCTGTCAATAGAGTCTTCTACCATTTCCCATTTAAAAGCTTCATTCGTTGTAATACCTATGCCTGCTAAATAAAGTCTAATTTCATATATAAGTTAAAAGATGAATGAATATAAATACACACTTACTGATATAAAAAGAAAATTAGAACAACAACTGATACTACTAAGGCTAAAATACCAATTGAGCCTATTATTCTATCACGATGTAATACATACTATATAGAATATATATAACAGAATAACTAAGCCATCTTATTTATAAGTATATATATTTATATGTATGCATATACATTTATATTTACTAAAAATGCTTTACGGAATGTAATTAAGCGTTGTTGACCTGTCACTCTGTCTTGAACATAGGCTGTATTCAATCCCCATTCAATAATCATGCCTCGATACACTTGGAAACACAAGTAAGCACCATAAGCACAGAATTCAGTTAATATAAATAAGAATAGAAAGAAATAGCGTTGATTATTTTCTCCTACGCATTGATTGATCCAAGCACAATGATGATCCAATCTACCGATACATGCTTTACACATAGAGCAGTGCTTTGAACGAGCAGGCCTATCATAGTGTAATTAATAAATATCGCAGTATTATTTAATATATATGTGTGTATTTCTTTTTCTTTTTACTTTTGCAGTTTACATGTAACACATGTCTTTGGCTTATATATAAGCCCATCATATTTATAATATTTTAAATGCCCTTCAATATTCTCTTTTGTAATAATTCCTGGATTTGAAGTACAAGCGACATAATAAGATGCATAAAGAGATATAATTTGAATTGGAATAATGATACTATATATATATATATGATGTTAGTGTGTATACTATGAAGAATAGGATTCAGCCTTCTTACTACATATGAATCGAATGTAAATAGGGTCCGGGCATATGAGGGATTGCATTATATAGGAAGCTTACAATGGATGAAGAGGATAAACTAACAAAAAAGACCTTTTGTTTATTAATAATATATAGTCTATATATGAACATTTATAAATTTACTTGTAAAAATGGATTTCGACTTTCACAGCAATAAGCCCAACCTTTATTTAATCTATTCATATTACTTTGACCAATAATACACAAGAGAAACCAACTATTCGATTGTTTAAAAAAAAAAAAAAAAAAATAGTGTCTATTTTGTATATACTTTACTTGATTCCTTTTGGTAGCTCTTCGATTAATAGATAATTCAACTTTCCAATAATACCATGTCTTTTATTTTAAGGAAAACCCCTTCAGTTTTATTTCATCATTATACATTATTAATAATTTACCTTAAGGAAGGAGATTGACCAAATAATAATACAAATACAATAAAACCAAAAAATAACAAAAATAGAGCAAGTAAAACAATTAGATTCTAATGTATAAAATAATGATTAACATTTAATTTATTTATTTTTTAAAACAAGATTATAAATTTTAAACAACCATTCTAACTTGTTTGCTCTTTAAATAATACTAATGAACGAAAGTTAGTTGAGTCCAGATCTATAGAACTCGAATTATTAAAAAAGAAAAAAAAAAAAAAGAAAGTAGTAACAAATAAGGAAATTAATCTTTTAAATGCTGAAAATAGAGAGAATATGCCCATAATGCACGTGTTTCAATTTTGTACAATTGCAAGTAGTGAGAAATGGCGAGACTTTAAGTATGTCCCTTCAAAGATACGTTCAAAAATACTGAAAATATCATTTGGTTTATTCAGATTAAAGAGACAGTCATCGGAAAAGGGTGTAATTGTTATATATTGAGGCACAAATTTTCATTCTTATGATCAAGTATAGGAGGAACTTTTGCTTTTTTTTTTTTTTTTTTTTTTTCTTTTTTTTTTTTTTTGCAGTTAAAAAAAATGAACCAAAGGTGGTAAACCTAATTAATTTAATACAGGAATTTGAACATTTATTCATTCATTAGAGAAGCCGCTATAAAGGTAGAGCTTTCAAAGTCAACATCCGTAAGCAAGATAAAAAAAAAAAAGGAACAAAACGACAAACAATTCTGACCAAGAAGGTATCCCTGATACCCAAAGAGCACAAGGGCCGAAAATTGATACTCAAGGACATACATACTGTCTTTATTTTTGAAATATTAGCCAATGAGCCAACTATAACGGTTGAAGCTGTCACAGACCAACTTTGCAAAAAAAAAAAAAAAAAAAAAAAAAAAAAAAAAAAAAAAGTGTCATCTCACTTGTAAACGCCTTGTCCAACAATATTTTGCACAAGACAGTGGGGAAATCGTAATTAAACCATACGACAGAGTAGACTTTTAGATTCATCAAAAAAATAGATTTTATGAATGACTGTGTGTTTATTGATGAGGCTAGGTTCAATAGAAACATACACCGCTCTTATGGTTGGTGTGAAATAGGATAGGAACACCTTACAAAATCAAAGTTGAAATAAAAGGTAACAAATATCAGTATCCTAAGTGCCATTTGCAAAGATGGTTTTATTACTTTTTCACTATAGGAGAATATCACTACAGCAATAACGAACTGATAATACGCTGGCTGTAAAAAGAAAAGGCACAACTAGTAATGACTTTTTGGACTTTACAGAGCAAGTTCTTACTATACTTGATGTAGCTAATATGAATGATAAACATCTAGTGCTTGATAACACATCCATTCGCAAGGCGAGCCTTTTTATCATGATCATCATAAAAAAGAGCTCAATTGCCATAATACAGTAATAAGAAAGCTTACAGCCTAACTATTTAAAATGCATAAACTGCCAAAAATATCTTGTACAATTGAAAATAAAACTGCTGTATAAAATGACATTTTTTATATTATTGATTGCTTATCTACTCTTATTTTTTTGAAGAATGTATGAACATCATGCTCTGTTGTGTAACTACATTTGACTAGTTTTGGCTAAATTACTTTACAAGAATGCTCAACATATTCACATGAATAAAAATACATATAAAAAAAGTAAACAAACTTCTTCTTTTTTTCTTACTTTCTTGCTTACTTTCAAAAAAGATAGTAATGCTTTACTACATTCAAATAAAAGGCAAAACTTATCTCTAAAGTATTAAAAAGAAGAGAGAAAAAAAAAGACAAGTAGAAAGGCAGAAGAGAAGATTTAACGCAAAGTAAATTAAAAACAAAAAAAAAAAAAAAATTGCTAAAATTTAACTTTAATAACTTCTCCTTTTGTTTATTTTTTTTTTTCTCCTGAATTTTACTATAAAAAAAAAGTACATTTTTTCGTTTTTTTTTCCCTTTTTTTCTCTTTTCTTTTCTTTAGCTTTTTTTTATATTTTCCCTATTCTTCTTTATTTTTACTTGAAACTATGGGTAGACATTGTCAGGGTTATGAAGTGTGCTCAAGTCACATAGCTTGGCTTACTTGAGAGTGTAGAACTGTCCGTTTATAACATGGCTAAAGGAGAGGGCCTAGACTCTCTTTTGGTTACTACATGCATATCCGCCTTCACCTTGGGTTATTGCAACCTTAGATAATTGATGGGACCTTATCGAATTTTGACTGCTCAAGTTTGATTTATTTCCAAAGGAGGAGGGAAATAAAAAGGATACTTGGGGTTGGAAATTGTAAACCTGTTCCTTTTTTAGGGAGATTAGCGTACTCTTTGTCTGCACCATTGAAAGGGCTTATCTCAAGGTTTAGTTTTTCTGTTTTTCTTTTTGGAGGTTTTTCCTTCTTTTTATTTTTATCTAGTTGCTGTTTATAAAATAAAAATAGATAAGGATGCACAGCTTACGTTTCTGACCGTGGTTTTTTCATCTATTTATTTAGTTGAAGAATCCCAGCTTGTATTTACTGTTAAGTCAAAAGTAGATGCTAGGGGTCAAAGAAGGGACATTCTCAGGTAAACAATAGTCAGGTCGTGCACTTTATATATCTGGATTCCTTCCACTTCGCCACGCTACAGGTCAGAATGTTTAGCCCGGCTTCCAATGAAACTTACATCCAACTGTATTTTTTATTGGGGTAGGAAGTGAGGAATCCTATCTTTTTCTTCTAGCAAGGCTTGGATCAGGTTGGTACTTTGCCAAGTGTCTACTAGTTGAAATTGGACGTTTATCTTTCAAGTAGAAATTTAGAGGGAGAAGAAAAAATTACAGCCTGTATCAATTTGTTTGTGTATGGGTTGTAATATTATTTTTGGGATTAGATATGCTTTCACCTTCTCGTGGTTAATCCTGTTAGTATCAAGTCTCTTTTAAAGAGATTTGAGAACTAAGAAAAGCATCTTTTTTTTATAATATTAATAAAAATGAAAAAAAATCAATTTAATAAAATCGTGTTCTACAATAAAGTTGCTTCTCTAATAGTATTTTATTATAACAAAAGTGGTGAAAGACTATAATAGCACAGTGTATAAATATTAAAAAGATTATTGTATATTTTTTCTAAGATTTCTTTCCTCTCAAGGTAAGTTATGTGTGGTTAAATAAATTTAGCATCACTAGAATGTACATTATCAGAATAAGACTAAAACTAGCCAACATTCATAATGAGCATTCATAATCTGATTGCTGTACAAAAGACTGTTCATCTTTAAGGTATAATTTGAAGTTGTTTCAAGCCCTGCCATCATAAATATTCATTATTCTATCTGGAAACAAACTAACTTTGGTTTTCGAACTAGTGATTTTTTTTTCAACAAGGAAAATTTTCTTAGGGTATTGAGTAATAAGGGCTGAAGGGAGGCTTCACCAATTCATCGAAAAGAAGTTGTTGAAATATCTTAGTCTTTGCAAAGGAATCTTATTTTTTTTTATTACAAATTTTCCACAAAGACAATCCCTTTACTCCTCAGAATTGTATCTACGGATGGTATAACGACACTTAATACAAGAAACATATTTTTGAAGTCTATCATGATAACAAAAAAGGTTGCCATTTGACATCACTTGTAAAACGTAACAATACGTTTTTTGGAAAATGATACTGTTAGATACAGTCTTTTAGTGCGATATTAATGAAGGTCATCATTGTTTTGAGGTTCTTGTCAGTTATATATTGCTCTTGGATGAGCATAAAGAATATAAAGGGTAATTGCTCCTTCAATGAATTTGTCTCATTATATGGATTAATTAAAGGAAATTCTATAAACTAACTAAAGTTGATGCACATGATGTGAACATACGTTTAATAAGGAACTATTGCTATCTTTTATTATGTACGGTGCTTCTTGCTATTCGCTAACTTTTTTTCATCATTTATATGTTGATGTACTCACTATTTATCGCTAACTTAAACCCTTATACAATACTTGACTTTTTCTTTGCTTATAATATAGAGTAGATTGTCTTAAACAAACAAACAAACAAACAAAAAAAAAAAAAAAAAAAAAAAAAAAAAAAAAAAGTAACGGTAGAAAGCATGACAGAAAGAGTATAATTAAATTCCCCATAAAGAGATAAAAGTTGAGGTATAATAAATAGAAAAATTTGTGCCTTATTAAATCAATAGTTTTTTTATTCCTGAGCTTTTTTTTTTTTAAAAAAAAATATGTGCCAAAAATGTTAAACATCATTGCAGTATTTAATAGAATCGAAAAGAACTAAACATTTTGTAATGCGATTATTGCTAATTAGAAATGAAATAAAAACTGTGCATTTTTAAATAAGAATTATGGAATATTAAAAATACATATTATGTGATATAATTGTAAGAATATAGGTTTGTATGCTAATATAGGAACTTTAATGATATTTGTCCACGAAGTAAAAGCTGATGCATTAACTGTTTCGTTAGGTAGTCATCTATAAGCCCAAAAAAAAAAAAAGCAGTCAGTAATGCTCAAAACTAACAAAAAAAAAATGGAACTCAGCTTCCCCTCATTTACTCTAGGCCCTGTTTTTATAAAGGTATATTTTTTTTTTCTACAAAGAGAAGATCATGTTTTCACGTACAACATTAAGATCAACATCACGATGTATTTCACTAACCAGTAACCAAATTAGAAACTATGCTTCCAAAAATAAATTCAAGGTGAAAGAGAATCCTGATGCAGTTAAATTATCCGATGCTGTCAACATTTTAAAAGCCATAGAAGTTGGTAACCCTAGTCATCAAATCGAAGCTCACATTCAATGTAAAATCGAAAAGTCAACACCTCTAATTCGAGGCTCGCTCGTTTTACCAAAAAGTATTAAACAAGAAGCAACAATTCTTGTATTTGCAACAGGGAAAAAAGCAGAAGAAGCCAAAGCAGCAGGTGCTCAATATGTAGGTGGTGACGAAATGATTGAAAAAGTACAGGCTGGTGAACTCAAGTTCGATAAATGTATTGCTACACCTCAAATGTTCCCTTCTGTCACTAAAATTGCTCGTATTTTGGGTCCAAAGGGCTTAATGCCTACTGTTAAAAAGGGTAAGTTATTCATGTAAGGATAATTTGGAGATTTAACTAATAAAAAGCATTACTATAAGGCACTGTTACGGATGATATCTTAGGAACGGTTCGTAAATCAAAGAGTTCATTTGATTTTAAAGCAGATAAGCAGGGTGTTTTGCATACTGGTATATATATTATAAGAATATTAATGCGAATATTTAATTTATATCTAAAATAGGTATTGGTCGAATAAACTTTGAAAACAATGAGATTGAAGCAAACCTCAAAGCTATTCTTGAAGAATTGAGAGTATTTGGAAAAGCTAATAATTTAAAAGGTAACATACAGACAAACATTAGTTAAACACTCATATTTATGTTTATTAAAAAAAAAGCAATTATTCAAAACGTCGTGCTCTCCTCTACTCGTGGTCCCGGTATTGTTGTTTCCAATGGACAAGCACTTTAAGTATACAATTATTTAACATGTCAAGCTTATATAGATAATAAAAAAAAATGATATACGTAAATTTGTAATTATAAAACAGAAGAATTTTTACTCTTGTTACAATATAGAAGATTTTACTTGAATTATAGTTATTTTTAATTTAAAGGATGACTTCAAATTAAGATTATTATAAAGCTTTGAAATATATATAAAATACTCGGATATACGTACATAGAAAGTAGTTGAATTATACGTATTTCATGCATAATATATAAGAAATTATGTATATAACAAACACAGCTATAGTGGCTATATTATGGACTAATCTCTTACTCAGTACGAAAACATAACAAAGAAGACTTAATCTTTGTATATAATATGTACTCCTTTCTACCAGACGATGCATTATTGACAAAATTGCTACCATACATACAATCCCAAAATAAATCAGAATGGTCCCAACTATCCAAATCTTATCTTTGGATATTAGTTTGCAATGAAAATCTTGACACTGCGTCTTATAAGGATTTTAATAGAAAACAAAGACGATTTCTGCTTAACAGCTACCGCACAAAAATACAAGAAAAACATTCGAAACTTCTATCCCATTGCCGTAATAATCTGATTGTCGACCCTATCCTCATGATAACAATGACAAGAAGTGAACGGTTTCGTTGCATGCGATGGCGACTTGGTTGATTACCTCTTGGTAAACCCCAAGCCTGCCTCTTCCATCCAAATGAACTCTTCATACGCTTATATAGTTTTTCTTGTTTGCATATGCATAATCGTCTTCAAATGCCCCAGATCTATTGAAGATCCACTCTCTTATATCTTGAACCTATTATCATCAACATTCCATACTAAGAAAGTGAGAAAATCAATGGATGCGGCTCAAACGCTGGCCTTCCATATGTGCAATTCTGCTTGGAAATGGACTATCTTGCTTCACTCCCAAATCCCTGAACCCTCTGACCATCATCTTCTTTCAATACAGCAACGATTTTCTGATAGTTAATTATCATCACTTATACATACACTTTAACATTTTCCCTTTTATCCCAAAAAGGGGGTTTCTTTCCTTTTTCTTTTTCCATAGCGATCTGACCAGGGCAAAACAGCATATAAATGCTATGTGCTCATTGGTCATTTTTTAATTTTTAAATAAAATTCTTTAGTTTAATTGTATATAATATGTATTTTTACAAATTATATTCATTGGCCTTAATGTACATGTAGACAATTTTTTTAATTATTATATGCTATTGAGTAAGACAAATTAGCTATAGATATACACAATCTATAGTTTGATGATTGATATATACACATGCTATTTCCCCTATTGCTATATTCAATAAACTCTATGAAAATAACTAATAGGTTACTATATAGTACCCACAGATTATATTCAGAAATATAGAGTATAATTCCCCTTTTCCCCAAAAAAAAACACGCCAAATATAAATTAAATTTATGCTAAAGTTAATTAGCTGGAAATAATACAATAAACTCGGAAAGTTAAGGAATAATACACGATAGTTAAACAGAATATTGTATGTATTAGCTATCTAAAATAAAATTTATTTATCAACTACACCACGTTCACTTTCAAGGGGGAAAAAAAATTAAACCCGATAAAAGGATGAATCATTTCTTCCTATTATCAGCCAAATTTAGAAAAATAAAATCAGAATAAGAATTATTATTTTTAGTCAAAGATTTGACACCACATCACCGAAACCATCGAAAGATTAAAATAATTCTTTATTTAGAAGTATGAACAAGATTTAAAATGTAAAAAAAAAAAAAAATATTTGCTTTACTCGATTAAGCTACAAATAATATCACACTAACTGTTTAATATACAGAAATATGAAGAAAACAAAACAAACCGAAAAGTAAGAGAGAGAGAGAGAGAGAAGGGATATACATAAAATAAAAAAATATACAATTACATAATATGATTTTTTTTAATGAAAATATTTATTCATTATAAGCTATTTAAACGTCATGAACTCTACTTCAAGATCAGATTTACTAAAAAATAATTCTAAATTTTACAGACTTAAAGTTGTACAAAGGAGAGATGGCATGTAGGTTCTACAAATTTTCTTTAAATGTTTAGCCTATTTTATGTAATGAAGAACTACTTTGTCAAGTGTAATATTGCTTTATAGAGAAACAAAATTACATATTATATGGGATTTTTTGTTTAAAAAAAATAGAAAAGATAGAAAAAAAAGTTATATAATAAAATTTGCACAATGATTTGATCGACAGTATTTTTTAATTTAGTTTTCATAATCATAGAATTGAATTTTTATCCGGGAAATATTTTTTCTAAATTTGGTAATTTAATGGACTTATAGAATAGGTGCTTTACACTATCTGATTAAGCAAATATATTATTACAAAGACTTTACAAAAAGATATATATAAGAATTATTTTTTGTTTTTTTCATGGTTTTTTTTTAAAAAAAAAGGGAAACACAATATAGTTGGCTAGATTTATTAATATCATTTCTTTTTGTTCATAGTTATTCCCTAGCTAAAATGACACATACTACTGTATCTCTTGGTGATGTTTCTTTTACAAACAGTCAATCTGTGTCCATACATTATAAGGCTTTTACCAATTATATGAATTATCTAAGCAAGTTACATTCTGATAAGGTTTTTACTCGTTATTATTCTAATAAGACCTACAAAACTTTAACCTATGCTGATGTGGATCGTATGGCAATTAATTTGGCTTGCAAATGGTCAAAGGATGCTGAGAGATCAAGTGTGGTTTCCTTTATGAGCGATCATACAATAAATTATGTTATTGTTATGTTGGCTTTAATGAAATTACGTCGTACTATGCTTGCTATTTCGCCTCGTAATTCTGAAGCTGCTATTACAAACTTGTTAGAAAAGACTGAAAGTAAATTGTTAATAGCAAATGCTAAATATGAAAATATCATAAAAGGAGTTAAAGCACAAAATCCAGATGTCAAGGTTATTATCATTCAGCCTCTTGATATTGAGGCTCTTTCAAAGGAACCTCTTAATTCTGATTATAAAAAGATTCTTAATTATCACTTTTCTGATGAGGACATTGAAAAAGACGCGTTAATCATTCATAGGTAAATAATAGTTATCTATATTTATGTTAACCCTTTTTTTTTGCCATGTACTGCAAGTTTTCACTAAATCAGTTTGTTATTTATTATTTATTTTATTTTATTTTATTTTATTTTATTTTTTTAGTTCTGGTTCAACGGCTTTCCCTAAACCAATATATCTCAGCAATCGCTATTTATTCAATATGCTCAAACCTTTCCATCTTCTTGTTAACGAGAAGGAGAATATGCCTCATGTCACAGAAAATGATTGTATGTTTTCATTAGCGCCTTTGTAAGTTTTATTCTATTTTTCCGTCATTGAAAAGGAATACAAGTATAGCTTATATATCATTGTTTTTTTTTTCTTTTTTATAGATTCCATATTTTCGGTTTTTTTGCACTATTTTCAATGGCTACTGTAGGTGGTAGTGCTATTTTTGTAGAAAAATTGCCTCCTTCTCAAGAAGAAATTAATTATGCTTTAGAAGTTAACAAGGCAACCATCATGTGTGCTCCTCCTCTTATTCTTGAACAAATGATTCCTTATCTCAAGGAGACGAATGATTTCAATACGATGCAGCGCCTGAAGTATATTATTTTTGGTGGAGCTCCACTTAAGCATGAAGCAGGTGAATGGCTTCAATCTCATAATATCAATGTTCGTGACATGTATGGTACTACTGAAATTGGTGCCTTTATGTCTTCTGATTTGGACCCAAAGAGCAAAAACTGGGGCTCTATTGGTATTTACATGAAGGATAAAGAAGGTCATCCATATGGCGTCTTTGAGACCAATGATGAAAGTGAGCCTGATGTTAAGCATCTCTATATTCGCGCTGGCTGTCCTACCTTGGCGAGTCATGTCGCTAACCGTCCTGATGGCGGCTATAATACAAATGATCTCTTTAAAGAAGACCCCAACTTTCCTGGTTACTACATTTACTTGGGTCGTCGCGATGATACTCTTATTATGGAAAATGGTGAAAAAACCAATCCTGTTCCTATGGAATCGACTATTCGTCAAAGTCCCGTTGTCAAACAAGTTGCTATTTTTGGACAAAATCGTCAATGTACTGCTGCTTTAGTTGAAACTGATTTGGAGTATGCTATTCGTTTAGGCCCTGATGAAATTATTGCTGCCGTTCATGAAGCTGTCAAGGAAGCCAATGCTGAATGTCCTAGCCATAGTATCATTCTTCCTCAAATGGTCAAAATTCTACCTTTCAACAAGTCCTTACCTTCAACGGATAAGGGTACGGTGATGCGAAAGAAGGCTGAAAAAATGTATAAAGATATAATTGACAAGCTTTACAAAGACTTCCTAGAGGGTCCCAGCCGTAATGATAAAGATAGTATCAATGCAGATACCTCTTCTTGGTCCTCTGAACAAACACTTGATTTCTTAATTAGTTGTGCCTCTGAAGTCTTGAGTGTGCCCAAGTCCTCTTTTAAGGATCATACTCGATCTATCTTTGACTATGGCCTCAATTCTCTGACTGCAATTCAACTTCGTAATAAGATTGCAGAGTATTTTGATAATATTCCTCAAAACTTCTTGTTTCAGCATCCTAGCTTTGAATCTATGCATGAAGCGCTTATGAATGGTATAGACCAAGACCTTGCAGAACTGAATGAAAAACGTTATCAACAAGCACAAAACTTGGCTCTTGCCTATATCAAGAAGGCGAAGGCCGATTTCTTCCCTATTGCTCGTCACGATGATAACAAAAAGCGAGATAAGGTTGTTCTTTTAACTGGCTCTACTGGTACCCTTGGTTCCTTTATGTTGCGTGATTTATTAAAGGATCCCAGTGTTAAGAAGGTCTACTGTTGTGTCCGTGGTAAAGAAGGTGAATTGTTTAACCGTCTCATCAAGGCCTTTGAATCTCGTTCTCTTGATATTTCCTTATTAAAGTCTGATCGTGTTGAAACTTTACCAATGCGATTCAATGATCCTTACCTCGGTTTCTCCGAAGAAAAGTACAATCAACTTAGAAATGAAGTGACTATTGTCCAGCATTGCGCTTGGGTACTTGACTTTAACATGACCATTGATTATTATGATAAAGAATGTATTACTCCTTTCTATCATCTTCTCAAGTTTGCATATCGAGAAATAAATCCAATGCATGTACATTTTATTTCCAGTATCTCTGCTAGTGCTGCTACTGGAGACCAAATTGTTGAGGAACCCCTTCCTCTTGATTCACATGTTTCCATGCCTATGGGCTACGCTCATTCCAAATTTGTTGTTGAGAAACTCATGAACTATTTGACTGCAGAAAAGAACTTCCCATGTATCATTGAACGTCTTGGTCAGGTCTGTGGTGATTCTGAAAATGGTGTCTGGAACACCTCTGAACAATTCCCCTTAATGTTTATTGGTGGTGGCTCTATTATGCACAAGATGCCTGAATTGGACACGATCATTGATTGGATTACTGTTGATTATGCATCTGCCTCTATTGTTGATATTATGCTTCGTACTGCTGATTTACCTATCACTGAAGATAACTCAATCTATCATATCGTCAATCCTCGTCTTATCACTTGGTCAGATGTATTAGAAGCTATGAGGGGCTCTAACATGGTCTTTGAAACTGTTTCACCTTCTGAATGGGTTAATACTCTTGCTCAGGATACTACAAACCCTGCTGCTCGATTACTTTCCTTTTATGAAGGTAACTTTAAAGAGGCTTTCAAGATGCCTATCTGGCAAACAAAGAAGACAAGTGCCCTTACACCTATCATTACCAAGGCACCTATCCTTGATGCTAACTTATTTAGTAAATTCTTAGCTCGCTGGCAATCTGTTGGTTTTTATAACCCTTCCAACTAAATTCTTCTTTACTTAAAATAGATAAATATATGTATTTATACTTGAAATATATTCTGTAAATAAAGTCAATAAACAATTCAATTTTTTTTCAACTTGTTTATTTATTAATATAATATAGAATTATTATAAATATTTACATAACAAGTTTGACTACAAGCTCTAAATAAGAATGGCAAGTTCTCCTTATTTAATTTTATAAGATGTAAATCAGAATGAAATAACAAAGAAGAGCAATAATAGCATCTAGGTATAAGTGTTCTCAAGTCTTTGTCAGCTGAAGAGAGTAAGATTGATTTATCTTCCAAGACGGATTCTGGGAGATTTTCGGAAATAATTTGCTTTGATTCTTGATCTATAGAGCATAGAAGGCCTATTGTTTGTAGACATATACTTTTTAGAGTTATAACTTTTAAATCATTTGTTTTTTGTTGACAGAAATTATTATTTCCTAGCCATAGCACTTTTAATTTTTTTAATTCTAAGATTTCAGCAGGTAAATGAATAAGACGATTATTATCTGTTAGATCGATCAGTGACAATTGTTTTAAATTGCCTATTTGAGAAGGAATGCTTGTCAAGTGATTATTGTGTAAAAAGAGTTGACGTAGATTGACAAGTAAGCCTATTTGCATGGGTAATTCTTTTAGTTGGTTACTTCCTAAATTTAATTCCTGTAGATTAGTTAACCGCCATAATTCATGAGGTAAAGAAACAAGATGATTGTTTTGAAGTTGAAGTGATGTCAAATTTTCTAAATAAGGCACAGCAGGTGGAGCAATTTGCTTTAATTGTAACGATTAGTCTTTTAAAGGGATATTAAAGTTTTAAATTTTTATTTTTTATTTTTTTTTTTATTACCAAACTATTCATTTTCTTAAATGCTAAATAAGCTTTAGTAGTAAAACTAACTGTTTCGATGGGCACTTTTTTCTTTTGGTTATCTGGTTTCGATTCATAAAAGGTTGCTATACAGCCATTCATATGCCATAATACAACTGATTTATATTCATTTTTAGCAATTGACATTGAGAATCAGCATCTGTTTTTTTTTCTATTCTTTAGTCAGAAAAAAAAAAAAAAAAAAAAAAAAATAAAATAAAATAGATGGTTTTTTTTTCAACTTTTATCGTAGTTTCGCTGATATGAATATGCATAATTAAAAGCATATACAGAATAATTGTTTGTATATAAATATTCATATTATTTATTTCTTCTTTCTTTTTCTTTTTCTTTTTTTTTTTTTAATTTATATAATGGAATTGGATTGTTGTGAAAATAAAGGATCTTCTTCTAAAATTAAGATGGATGTTTACAATAAAGACATGATTACGAATTCAAAAGATAGTTTTATTAATCCTCAGCAACAACAACAATCAAACAACGAACTGATTATTACTGCTAATAGTAAAAACATGAATATGGTGAATAAAAGACGTCCACAACAGAGTAATGTTATAACCGAGAGACGAAGTGTGAATAGGCGAAGTTCATTAATGGTAGTTATATAAAATATGTCTAGATCTTCATATATGCATGCACATATACTAAATTCTTTATTAACAGCCAAGGTCGAAGGCTCTTTTGAGGGTGATTGATCAAACTGATGTAAGTGATGATACATTTACATTGAGAATGAATGTATTAAATAATTTATATAGGAAGACTCACATTTAGGTGATATAGAGATGAGAAGAGAATATGAGACTACAACTCAACTGAAAAATATGGATAATTCAATCGAGGTATGTGGAGTATATATTCTTCTGTAGTAAATTGCATTGACATAGAAATATACATTTAGACATTACAACAAGGTGTACCTCCTGCTTCATGGACGAAAATGGTAGATATGCCTTTATATCAATGCTCCAAGTTAAATCCAGAAATAGAAATGACTGTAAGTATGCATTTGCATATAATAAATATGTATATTCATTATTTGTGGCTATTTTATATTAGAACTTTCAACTGGAAAATACAATATACAATAAAACTATTAAGAGAAAAGGTAAGATAAGATATACAAATGCATGTATATACATACATAACATTTGCATTCTAGCATCTGCAGAAGATAGGCTATTTGATCCTTATCCTATACCAATAAGCTTAAAACGAAGAGCTGTTTCACCTTCACTTTCTTTAAATGGATCCCCTATTTTATCAGACTTTTCTAGTCCTCCAATACCTTCTACTTCATCTTCTTATTCCTTTTTTAATAGTTACTTTGGAGGAACAGCCTCAGCTAACGCAGCAGCTAGAGCACAACAAAAGCCATCTAGTAATAGCACATTTAACTTACATGAAGCAAGTGGTGGATTAAGTCGAATGTCTTTAGAATAAAATATGTATACATGTATTTATTTATTATGAAAATTTATAAGAATCTGAATCATCAATTAACTTTTCTTGATATTTAGCCTTTAATTCAGCAAGTACATCAGCATTCATCGTTGGTATATTATTCCTTTTAATAATTTCATCTCTCCTTCTAGCAGTTTCAATTTCGTCTGATAAAGTATTCTTTCTTTTCGCTGGTAATTGCTGCTGCTCATCATTATTGTGGGCTTGTTGAGCTGCCTTGAATAATTTGTTATTAAATAAACTATGTTGTGTATGATTATCATCATCATCATCATCTTCTTCTTCACCATCACTTTCAAAAAAATTCTTGGTCAAGAATGTCTTGTTAACATGAACGGGTTGTTGTTCTGATTGTTCTTTTTCTTCTTGTGCTGCTTTAAATAACTTGGTATTAAATGAATTTGCGACAGGTGTATCATTACTTTCTGTAGACCAGAAATCAATATCACTATTACTCCATGTATTAAGCTTAATAGTAGTAGGCGTAGTAATAGTAGTAGTAGTAGTACTGGGTTTATCTTGGCTGACTCGTTGAGAGAAACGTTTTGTTAAAGGTACTGAGCGTTTACTAACTCTGCCTGGTGACGCCGCAGACTCTTTCTTAGCTGTGAGTCCATGAATTTCTTTCCAAAAGCGATTACTAACTTGGCTACCTCCAGGTGTTCTACATGAAATTAAGTAAATGTATAAAGTTAGAGGCAAAGAAAAATGAGGGTTTTTTTCCTGTTTACCTAATTATTTCAGCTGATCTTAACTTGGCGCCTCCAAGCTCATTAATAAAACTTTTCCTATTATTATTTGGGGATATAGTAAGATGGCGAGGTGATGTAGCACTAAATTGACTAATACGCATATTAGCAGATGAACTTGATAGCTTTTAAATTAAAAAAAAAAGATTAGTTGGTTTTTTCTTCTCTTTTCTCTCTCTCTTTCTCTCTTTTTGTTATACCTCCTTGTGACAAGTATTGGACTGAGAAGACTTTATTGATTGGTTATATGATATTGAGCTTGTTCCATTATGACTGTTAGAATGGTTATAACTAATAGAAGATGGTCTATTTCTATTTGTATTATTAGAAGGTGACGATATAATACTAAACGCATCTTCCTCCTCCTTTCGATCCTCATGTTCAGGAGAGGATACTATAGACATAGAAGTATCTTCATCAGCAAAATTTTCATCTTTTTCTATAATGCTTCCTTGTTCAAATCTTGAATTAGTAGTGGAAAGTTCATCAGCTAATAAAGATGACTATTATTTAAGTAAGAAAAAAAAATAGTAAATGAATATACATGGTTCTTAAAGATAATATAAACACTATTTACTTGTCTTCGTATTTTTAATAAATTTTTATGTAATCTATCCATTCGTCGTCTTTCTTCAGTTAATTTTTCTTGTAATTTCATTGACCATTGTTGTCTATTAGGGGTCAAAGTAGATTTTCTCATTGTCTTTCTCGGTGATGAAAATGTATTAGGTTGACTAGGTTGTTTATCTAAACTTATATATGATATAGGTGTATCGTCAGCATAATGTTCAATTAATGAAGGGGTTTCTGCTATATCTGATTCTGATTCCTGATAGAATGGATTTCTACTAGGATAATTATATTTTGCTTGTGAATCTAAATATATGACATTTACAAATTAGATTAAATAAGACAAAAACGACTAAATATTTTTTCTTAAAAAAAAAACCTTCACGAAGTGTATGTCGTTCAATGAGAGGTGTTAAGGAAGTTCTACTAGTACTAGCATTATGTGAATCAAGTTCTGTTCTTCTTTGATTCAATATAGCTCTCAATCTTTCTGACGTTTCTGCTGTACGTTTCTGAATATAAGACTATAAAGAAGTGTGTAAGTTCAATTGTTGTATATAACTTAAAAAATTCTTTATATAAATGTATATGAATGTATACATTGCTTGTTCTTGGAGTTAATTTAGCTTGTAAGTTTCCATAAAAGCGATCAAAATCTCGTGTAGCCTTGGTATGAGCTGATTTGACAGCTTCATAAATAGGTGTTGCAATAGTTCTTAATGGTGAAGCTACCAAGCCAGGTTTCTCTGAAGCTTTTATTATTGATCCATAGCCACCATCTACTCTATTAGGCGAATACATTTTATAAATAATAATAATAATACTAATAAAAAAAAAAAAAAAAAAAAAAAAAAAAAAAAAAAAAAAAAAAAAAAAACGGAAGAGAGAGGAGTATGAAAAGCCTTGAAAAAATTTAGAAAAATAATATAACTTTTTCTATTGTTTTTGAAAATCAGAACGCGATAAAAAAAAAAAACGCGTGCATCACTCTATAATACAATTAAAATTATATTTTATTATGACCAATGAACACGTAGCTATAAAAACTGATTTGTCCTACTTAGTTTAGAAAACAGAGAATAGAAGGCCTTATAAGACAAAAGATAAAACCATAAAAGTTAAAATTAGAGAAATATATATGCATATATTATTAGAGAAAGAATGTGTAAAAAGAAAGAAAAAAAAAATAGTTTCACGGATAGATTCGACTGAGATAGCCGCTTAGTTAAGGGAGAAAGCCAGTATTGGAGAGATGAAGGAACAAAAGAATGAGCTAGATTTATTTTATTTTATTTTATTTTAATATTTGATTCAAAATCAAGATGTATAAAATCAACATGAAACTATATCTGCTTGATATCTCTTACCAGTAGTGTTGATATTGATATCGAAACAATAACAATTATAGTTACGGCTATTTTTTTTTCTTTTCTTTCCTTTCATACAAACTATTAGCAAAACTGATTTAAGTCTAGATTTCTGTTAATAAATATCGTTTGTTATATGACTATTGAATGTATCATATCATATTATATTATGTAATGGCTTACAGTTGTCTTTGCGAATAATAGATTCTTGTTGCGTTCGACAAAGAAGATATGAAAGACTTAATCTATTTGATATTGTTGTATTATCTTTGTTTTAGAAGTAGAATATATATGCATATTTAAATCAGTATATATCTTGTTAAATTATATAATTCTATACTTGGCGTAAAAATAGATGCATATTCATACTAACCTAAATAATGATGATTACCTTTCTTTTTAGCTTCATTCATATCAACTACAGGATTGTAACAACTACTTTTAAAACTTATTTGTGATTTTTGCTTATTATCCTTTGAAAATACTATATTGCCATTATCTATCACTTCTTTTTCTGATGACTCTTTAATAATACTCTTAGAACCCTCTTTATCGTCCATTAGCAGTAATGAATTCACTGATATGACAGAGTTATGATTATCACTTGTTTCATTTGATGTATTATCTATTTGTCCTGCTTTTTTCTGAATAGTATTTTTCCTCGTTGACTTTTTATTGGTTCGTCTCGATAATCGTGGACCTGATTCCGTTCTAATTCTGATCTTTAATCCCTGTGCAGCAAAGCTTTTGATTAAGGAACAAGAAGGATGCATTCCAGGAAACTTGTAATAAAATAGACTTAGTCATCTATTGCCATTGCTTTCCTCTTTCCAAAAAAAATAAATAAATATGAATGACTTACATTCTTGGCATTGTAGACAGTAAACTGCTTAGTCAATACTGATGTAATATAATTAACAGAATGCCTATATAAACATAAATATATAGGTCCGCTTTTAATTATATTATCCTTTCCTCCACTTCTTTATACGTATAGCTTACCCTTGAATTTTAAACAAACACATTTGTAGACGATAGTTTCCTTCTATCCGAACAGAAATATCTGGAAATACGAAAAAAATACCTTCACTTCCATCTAAATCTCTTAAATTATAGACAGAGGAAACGGTACGTCCAATTGTCAATTTAGTATGCAAAGCAAGGTTTAGCTCTTGACTTTCCTTATCTGATGGGATAAGAACTGCAATTAAGAATAAATGAGATAATGGTGATAATATAGAACTATAAAATAGTATCATAAATAGATGTTATATATGTATATGTATGTATGTATGTACATTTTATATAAATATGCCAAGTACTACCTTTTGCCCCTATCTGTGTGTTTATTGTAATTCAGTTGAACCTCAACAACAGGTGGAGGGTCAATTGGTCTTCTATCAACTGTAAGAGAAAAAGAAAAATAAATGATTATATAAATTACCATACATATACATATACAACTACCTCTTTCACCAATACCACATGTTCTAGAATGAACTGGATGCTGTCTAACTGTCAGCTTGAAAGAGCTATTAGTATATTCAATATTAGTGTCAATTTAGAAAAAGCTGTTTATATAGGATAAAAATGTTTATCTACTTGTAAGTAAAAGCTTCAATAGATGGAATCGTCTCTTTTTATGATTATTTTCTATTGTTTTTAGTTTAACTATTGGAATTATATAACTATTAAATATAATCTAACCTTTCATATTTTATTGAAAAAAAAAAAAAAGTCAGAAAAATAGTGAGAATAATATGAATAAAAATGAAGAAAGAAAAAGAAAGAAAAAAAAAAGGAAAGAGAATTGTCATTTTAGTCAAAATATATGTGTATATTTTTATATAAAAAAAAGTTTTTCTCTCCCCCTAAAAGTTAGTCTTTTTTGATTTGAAGGAAAAGAGAAAATATTTAAACGTTACACTAGGACCAACAAACAAAGTGTAGTCTCTTTAAAAGGTAAGGATGATTTGCAGCGGAGAGCAAAATTTATATCTTGATTTAATACAATTAAACATTTTTTTTATTATTTTTATAAATTAAAATTTATAAAGCGACCTATGGGCACATAATATCTTTGTTATATTGGATTGCCCAGGTCAGTTCAAATTATGTGAAAAAAAAGTATCTAAAAACCCTCTTACGGGACAAGAGGTAAAAAGGTAAAGGAAAGGAAGATCAAGACTTTTACTGTATCTACACTTTGCATATACTCCACCGTCATGGCAAGTGGCTCAAGTGATACCTATTCATAAAAAAAGATAACGCAACTGTCCCGGCCAACTACCATCCCATTAGCCTCACATCTATCTTTTGCAAGCTTTTTGAAAAATGCATTTACAATGAACTGATAACTACTAGCCCTTCCCTAGATATTGCGCAAGGTAGATTTCGTGAAGCTCGAAGCTCCCTTGACCAAGTCCTATGTCTTACTGAACTCTGTACCATCCTACGATGTTATCATCGATTTACTCCAACTCTGATCTTCCTCGACATCAAATCAACTTATGACACTGTTGACCGATCCTATATATGGCAAAACTTCAACCTTTTGCACCAACACCATTGCTTGGTATTTTACAGAATTTATTTGATGATGTACAGATTGAAGTTTTACTCGATAATGCGGTATCTTCTCGGTTCTTTCCGGCCACAGGTGTGTTACAAGGCTCCATACTATCCCCATTTTTGTATTCTATCTACATTAATGATCTACCTGAACTTCTAAGACCATAGCATGCAACCTCCGATGCCTTCTCTGATGCCACCCAATCTGCTACAAAGATCACATCTCTCCTTTACGCAGATGATGTCGTCCTAATCGCCCCAGCAGCTAAAATGCACTCACTCTTGCGAAGCTGTGAGGAATATAGCTATTATGTGGGCTACCGTTGGAGTCCATCCAAATGTGTCGTTGTTGCACCTCCCAATGATGATCACCAATATAAACTATATAACACACCTCTACCTCGTGAACCCTCCTTTGCATACTTAGGCATTCGTATAAAAGCTGGTGGTTCTATTGATACTGCTGCTCTTATTAAACAAAACACGGCTAAAGCGCGATCTTCAATGAACCAGATAGCTGTTCTCGGTGTCAACTCAAAAGGTTTCAGCCGTCTCCTTGCAGTTCATTTTTATGTCCAGATGATCAGATCACAACTGGAATACGGCCTTGCCATCGCTGCGCTCAACGGTTCTCACTTTAAGCAACTAGAAGCCTGCTAAAATGAATGTCTTCGTCGCATATTTGGCGCCTCCCTGCGATCCTCTACTAAAGTGGTGCTTCACATGATCCATCAACCGTCGATGATGAACCGATCCATAATACTCCAAACAAAATACCTAGTACGATCCATGAATTTACCTGGTGATACTCTGCTCTCCAAATTACTATCCCACTTGGAGACTTCTGCAAGTCACTTACAATGGTACAAACTGACCAAGAACTCTTTATGGAGAGAACGCACCCGCAATTTGGATGACCTTACCAAAAGCAAGTTTAAGAGACTACAGCACGGCTTTCTACAACAATACCATGAAACACTTTGCACTGGCCCAAATACTAAGCTGCTTGCCGCCTGTCGTCCAACTCTGGCTCCAGATCCTCACCTTTGGTTGCCGATGTCCAAAACTCAGTTTAGTCAGGTTATACGTTGGCGTCTCGGATAGCTACCTGGTGGTATACCTCGTCCCTGTATATATCACCCTTTCGAACATTTTACTCGTCACCATGCCATCATTTGTCTCCACATGCATCATCGGCTGTTATTACCGACGTCGATCGAAGATTCTCTCTCTTTCTTGCTGAATCTTTTGCCTACTAAAAAACCATCAACAGCACACCTTGCTGCTCCTTGGACGATTTGATGGCCAACGATTTGTACAATACTACATGAGATGGATCATATCTTCCATGGAAAACTCCCTCCTGACCCTCCCACTGATACTGGTGCTTCTCTCGTGAATTGGTTGCTCAACTAACAGTGTTCATACTCCTGCACAATCGCTGAATTTTTCCTTTTTTTTTTTTTTTTTTTTTTTTTTTTTTTTTTTTACCATCAACTTTTAGACTTTTTTCATTTTCCATCTTGTCTCTTCAGAGGTTTTTTCTTTCTTATATATACTACTCGAACTGGCTCGGGCAAAATCGCAGATGAAAAATGCACTGTGCCCACCTGGCCATAATAAAAAATTAAAAAAAAAATAAATAAAATTCATATTTTAATAGTACAATTAAAGTTTATCTGGCCATTTTTATGTTTTTATGTAATACATAGTTTACTCAGAAGGACAGTATTATGTTTAATCATGGTTTATACATATATGTAGTGTCAATAAACACTATAATTATTCTTTATAAATATTATACTACATGGCTATTTGTTACCGTAAATTATTCCTTTTTTTTACATTTTATTTCTTTTCTTTTTTTTAGTATAGCAGCAAATGGTTTATAACTACCTTTGTCCTTTTTCTATTTTTACCCCTATTGTTATACTGAATTTCCATTGAATATATCAATAATTTTAGTAAACAGAAGATACAAATCATCTAACATACATTACAGTAAACTTTGTTATAAACAAAACATATATAGAAGAAAATAAACAAACTAATTACAAGTAATATCAGTCATGTCTGCATATCGATACACATATAAAAGAATATAACTAGTTTCTAGAATATATATACACATACATATACATATATACTTTTCCTTTCTGCATATTCTTTTAGTCATTATCTTCTCCTTATTATATAGACCTTTTTCTTTCTTTCTTTCTTTCCTTTTTTTTTTCCTTTCCTTTCTTTTTTTACATCTTATTATCTTTGTTGATATTTAAACTATTTATGCTAGACGCAACTGAAGTTTTAAAGCTTGAAAAAAGTAATTATGGAAGCATTTCTAATGATAAAAAATCGATATTTAATATCCTGTTGAACAAATTCATCAACAACAGAAAAAGAAAGCAGGCCAAATTAATTGAAAATAATAAGCGTCTTTCTTTACATAAATATATGCATCGTTTCAGTTCATCATCAAGACATCTGTATTATTCTAAAGATATCATTTTTGAACGTAACAATTACAATTACAGTCAACAAAAAGAAGAAAAACTATCAAATGAAAAAGAGCATTATGAGCAGATAGTAAATTCATATTTTTTACAAGCCAAGACACCATTAGTGAAGACTACTCAAATGTATCATCATCATTCTCCTCCATTAAAAGGAATTTTGTTAAATACTGAAATAAAACCAAAAGTACCCTTTATCGAGTCAGAAAACGGTTACTCATCATCGAGCCTCGTACAAAACTTACCTTCGGATATTTTTAGAAAATCAATTATATTGGCCACGACACTAGCTACAGCCATAGCAACCAAAACAAAAATAATACCAGATCTTTCACAATCTTATTCTCCTATGTCGCCTATGTCCATGTCAAATAGTACTGTAAATTTCAAGGACTTCTTAACAAAGGAGTCTAATACTACAACAAAGATGAATAAAAGTATATTAGAGAATGATTCTAATCTCAATCATTCTTTGATGATATCCCAATTGGAAAAAGTTCAATATTCATGGTGTAATCGTTTTGATGAAGAAATCAATATACCTTCTTTAGCTGCTACTGCTACTGCTAGTAGAATAAGTCAGTGTAACGATATGAGTTATAGTTCCATTTACAACAATAACAGTAGTATGAGTGAGTTCATGACAATAGATAATGACATGTATTATACCTTAGATAAGTGTCATTCAAAATACGAAATTTGGGATGTCGATTTTTGGAAACAACCTGCTGGAGAAACACCAAAAACGATTGAAGACTTTGCAGATATGACAAGTTCTTCCAATGAAGAAGCCAAGTCTACCTGGGTAAAAACTGTACCATCTAAACTATTATCAACAACATCAAGTCCAATGGCTATAGTAGGAGAATTACCTAATCATACATTAACAACAGATAAATTAAACCAAGAAGCGTTTCCTATCCTCTTAGAGCTGCATCCATTTTTGACTTTTAATCCAAATTCACAAAGAAAGGAAGCACATATAAAGAAAGGCAGATTTGACATCTACCTTCAATTAAATGAATAATAATGCATTGTATATAATCTTTAGATACAAAAACAAATATATTATTAAAGTCCTCGAGAATATATAAATTTAAATAGTCATAACAATAGAAGTATATGTATATAAAAGCCACTCTTCTTTCTCTCTCTCTTTTTTTTTTCTTTTTTTTTCTTTAAGCATTATATATACTGTAGTTACACGAGTGAACTTGATTTTTTTTAGTGTATGTAGACTATATCTTACATAATAGCCATAAAAAAAAATCTCGAATCCATTCAAATATTTTGTTTATTAATGTTTGCTTCTTTACAATTACTAATGGTTCCAATATACGATTTATATTAACAGCCAGAGAATAAGTTAGCTTTAAAGTCTTTTATTTGAAGTAACGTCTTGATTGAAAAAAAAAATAAAATAAAATAAAATAAATAATTTCTATATAACCTTATTGATATCCTGTACTACCAAATCCACCAGCACCACGATCTGTTTCTTCTAATGACTAATAGATAATTGTTAATCATTCTACTCTGTGTTATACCATCCATATTTATTCTGCTACTTACGTCTACTTCTACAATTTCAGGTGTTGAAATCTTTTCAATAATTAATTGTGCAATTCTATCACCACGATTAACTAGAAATAAAAATCTTTAGATACATGGATGTATATATGAGTATATATATAAATATTTGTATATATTACCTTTGTACTCAGTTTGACTAAAATTGAACATCAAGACACCAAGAGGACCACGATAATCAGCATCAATAACTCCAGCACCTGTATCTAAATGATGCTTGGATGCTAAACCAGAGCGAGGAGCAACACGACCATAATGTCCAACAGGAATAGCAAGTGAAATATCAGTGGCAACAATAGCTTTACCTTGAGCAGGAATTACAATATCATGTGCACTACAAAGAGGTGTTGTGTTAGTTATATTATTAGGCCTTTGCTTTCTTTATCATTTTACCAATAGAGATCATAACCAGCTGAATGCTCAGTTCCTCTGGTAGGAATTTTAGCATGTTCTGAAAGGCGTTTGATTAAAAGTTTACTGGTATTTGATGGAGCAGGCATTAAGATATTTTTAATTAAAAGAGAGAGAGAAAAAAAAAACACGTAAAAATAAAATATTTTTTTCCAAAAAAAAAAAAGGGGGAGGCGCGTTTGTGACGATTGTTTTGTTTTATATACACATAAAATAAATGAAATTAAGTTTCTTAAAAACAAAAAATGAATACATGTATTATACTTTTTTAATAGACAATTGATAGTTTCTGAAGCTTAAGCATATACTGAATCCAGAATAAATATATGAGTTATTTCTGTAGTTTTTGTTATTCAAGTCTTAATCGTATGAGATTGAATACAGCTTTTAGAGACGATAGAAGAATGTTTAACAAAAAAAAAAAAAAAAAAAAAAAAACTCGCCAATAAATTATTAATTTACTAGAACCTAATAGTATATCAGCTTATAAAGGATGCCATTGAAGCTTTCCGGGAAATAATGAATAATATACAACCATAAGAATCGAAGCTTTCTTTTTTGGTAATTGATTGCATTAATTTTGGTTTATAATAAAAGTAATAAATAAGATGGCAAATACGATGTTGAAGAATAACGCAAAATGTGTGTGTTGAACTAATTTAAATTATCAGATAAGGTTGGTTTAGAAAAAAAAAGTATTTGTTAATAGTAAAAGTACTGCAGAAAAAAATTTTGATATCAAAGCAGAGAAAAGAAAACCTTGCCCAAGAAAGTTAATTTACTTTACCCGAAAAATAAAATAAAATAATGACCAGGTTTCAAAAAAAAAAAAAAAAAAAAAAAAAAAAAAGAGGGGAAGAAAATTAAATCCTTAGATTATTAATACAATTGACACTACGCATCATTCATTTACATTTACTTTTATATTATCTTTTTATTCTCGATTTTAATGAATGATCCAATAAATGTACCTTCTTCTCCTCAAGTTGAATTAAACATTGAAAATAATGCAAGCCAAAATCATAAATTATTAACAACAACAAAAAAAAATTCATCGTCCCTTGAAAAGATCGTTTCAGCTTTTACAGGCGCTATTATTACTATGACGTTCAGTAAAATAATAATAATAAAACTTGTTTTTAGTTTTATATACCAGTATATTAATATTATTATTATTATTATTTTAATAGTGAATCCATTAGACGTTGTTAAAACTAGACTTCAAGAAACTACAAAAAATGGGAAAACTGAATATAAAGGAACAATTGTAAATATATTGATAATAGAAACTATTTGCATTACATATTTTGTCTAACTATATGGATATACTAGGACTGCCTTTCGAAAATATTTAGAAATGAAGGTACTTTTGCATTATGGAGAGGATTGATACCAGGATTAGTAATGGCATTACCATCGACGGCTATTTATTTCGTCGGTTATGATTATATTCGAGATCACATAAAGAATTCTCGATTTGAATATACAACTTTAGACATTTATTCACCTTTATGGGCTGGAGGATTAGCAAGAAGTAGGTTCAAGAATAAACATTAAATTGTTATTATTTAATGGTACTAATGTAATGTAATTTATAGCAATGGCAGCATTAGTCGTATCACCACTTGAATTGTTTAGAACTCGTATGCAATCAAAAGAAGGCATTCATGGTTTCTCAGGTAAATAAATATGCGCATAGATAATTTAAAAGTTGCTATATAATTAACATAAAAAAAATTAGATGTTTGGTTGGGTGTTAAAAGGATGGTTCATTTGGAAGGACCACAAGCATTATGGCGAGGTTTATTACCTACAATGTTAAGAGATGTACCTTTCTCAGCTGTCTATTGGATGGGATATGAAAAGATTAAACATCAACTAATCTTGGACAATAGTAATCAAAGTCATTTTCAAATAGCCTTTATTTCAGGGGCCACATCAGGTATGATGGCAGCTATCATTACAACCCCATTTGATGTAATCAAGACACAACGTCAAGTGAGTTCAGGAGCCGATGAAGCTAAGCTAAATAATATTCTAAAAAATATCATTTTAAAAGATGGTTTATCTGGATTCTTTAAAGGAGTTGTACCCCGAGTAGCGAAAGTAGCACCTGGATGTGCTATCATGATTTCTAGTTATGAAATGGGCAAACATTTTTTTTCAAGTCGTAGATTGTAATTGTAATATTTATTATAAGAAACATAGAGATAAACTTTTCTTTTGTATACATCCTTTACTATTTAATTTATATAATCATCTTATTTCTTATGTTTTTTGTTTTTTGATGAAGTTTTTTCTACAGTATAAAATAATTAGATTAATCAGCATTATCCTTTCAACAAATTGATTCAAAATTTTACTTTTACTAAAAACATTCATCTTTCTATTCTTTTCTTTTTGACTTATTTCACCTTCTTCTTCTTCTTCTTCTTCAGATGAACTACTACTACTACTATCGTCTACTTTTCTTTTTTTCTGTTTGTTTTCAGATTCGACATTTACTTTGCTTTCATTAATTGCTGATTTAATAAAACGAGCTGCTGCATCCTTATCAACTTTCATAGTAGCTATTATAAACGTATATGTACGTTAATTTGTTATTCAGCATTATCGCTATGTTTAAATAAAAACTTACGCTTTTCTTCTTTTCCTTGGGCTTTTTTTAGCTTTTTAATATAAGTTTGAACACGGACCTAAAGTAGATTATTATTTAATTAACTAGTTTTTTTTTTTTTTTTTTTTTTTGCCAGATCTACAAAACGCTAATTTACCAATTCATTCATTACTTCATGTTTTTGAGGATCTGATCCTTGTGTCCTTAAATAGACTATAATAAAAGTTTTATATTAATTTTTTCTTGGTTATTCAAGATGAATATGTTTCGTACATACTGTAAAATAAAGTATTTAAGCTATAGGTTAATAATACTTCTAATTCATAACGTTGCGTTACAGGTAACTTGGTATATATTTCATTCAAAGGTTTTTGTAAGAGTGGTTGTAAATGATTTTTAACAACTTGAAGACGAGCTTTTAAAGCGCGGACCGCTTTCTTTGGTATCTCTGGTTGCACTGCCTCCATTATTTTAGAAAAGAAAAAATTAAAAAATTAAAAAAATATGCTTTGATTTTCTGCCTTTTTTTTTTTATTATTATTATTGCAACAAAAGGGCTTAGCATTGATTTTAATCACCGAATTAAGCAAATATGTGATAGGTTTTCCTTAAAAATAAAAAATCTCAATTATAAGCTGGTAGGTATAATGCATATCATAAGTTGATATTGTAACTAAAAACAAAAATGAAAGCAATCAGTAAATTTCTTCTAATATTTGAAGGCAGTATTTATGAAAGGATATGAGTATGATATATGCGTTATTGAGGAATTAGTAAAAAATAAAAATAAAAATAAAAATAAAAATAAAAATAAAAATAAAAATAAAAAAAGGTCAGGTGTAGTGATAAGATAAAAGCAGTGCAGTATTACCTTCAAAGTGTGAAATCATCGATAATTATTAGTAGTACACTTTTGTCTGCATTTCAGTTGATTCTAGGGACTTCTGTGACTCTAGTTCTGGAACCTCTAAATTTGATTGAATCTTTTCCGAATATTTCGTTATCAAAAGAGACGATGAGTAACTTATCCTTATGATGCTCAAATTTCTTTGGTTTCCAGGATTCATTCACTATTATATTAAACATCAGACTAACATACCAACCATTGTTCTGTTTGTAAACTTTACCTTGTTAAATATTCCTAGTTCAGCTTCATATGTAATTGGTAAATTGATACAAGAAAAGGACAAATGACTGTTTGGATTAATTGCTGTAAATCTTTACTTCAGTAAAGACACGGGGCATAAAGAAAATAAACGAGGAAGCACTCGCTGTTGCTATGCTCTTCAATACATGACGTGTTTTCACTGTTAGCTTTTTATTGTATTTTATTTTTAACATACACGATCTAGAATGTTACTCTTTTTCTTTTATATATGTCTAAACACTATTTTTATTTCTTTTTAAATTTGTATTGTTTGTTGGTTTCTCTTTTCTTTTTTGTTTTTTTTTTAACTAGTGTCAATCTCACTCAAAAATACTATAGTTAAGTATTTGCTTTCTATTTTTTTTTCCTCTTAAGTTTATTAAGGATTTTTTTAATATTTTTATTGTTATTTTTTTTTAAAAAAAGAACTTCCCCGAGCAATTTTGATTTTTATATGTACCTTATCAGTGTGCTCATTGGGTTTGAAGTTTATTACTAATAAAAATATATATTTTAAACATTGTTAAGCATTTTGTTTCGGGAAATTATTTTTTTTTCCTCCTTACTAAACTTCTTGTTTCATTCATCACCCTTTTTGACAGGAACATTCACTTTTATTGTCAAAGAATAGATAATGTAATATATCTAGTTTTGATTGTCAAAGGTAGTAAATTTTGGCCTCTCAGATAAAATATTCTATTGCGTATATCTTTATAAAGCCCTAACTTTATAACGTGATAAGGAAACATACAATATTCATATCAAGGCACTTTAAACAGTAATTTGAAAAATTTTGTGTTATTGTTAATTTTTTTTTTCTTTTATGCCACTACTATATTGTCTTTCCCCCCCTTTTTTTTGTGTGTGTGTTAATTGGATCAAATTTACACTTGTAACTTAATTCTTCTATGGCTTCCACGTGGCAATACCTACTTAAATCTTATAGAAAATTGTAACATGGCAGTTATTGCTCGTTGAGTTTGAGTTCACGTTGACAATTAGTATTGATTGTGCTATAAATGCACAGGTATCAATAGTTAGAGTTGCAGTAAAATAGAGACACCTGGTTATTTCAAATATTATTATCATTTCAGATTAATATTTTTACATGAGTTCATAAAGATAGAATCATGTCATTTAGCTTCAAACTATACACATTAAAGGCTATCTTTATTGTAACTTAAAAGCTCCTGGAGTAGAATAATGATAAGTTTATGTCAAATAGTATATGTTAAATTATACATAGTGCACAAATAATATTATTACTTCTCATCATCATAATTACTATGAACAGCTGACAATAAAAAAAAAACGGATGAATTGTGTGACTTAACTTTTTTTTCGCACGAGATGAGGATTTCACTAGATTAAAAAGGTTCATTATACAGGTAGATTTTTTTTTTCTGTTTTTCTACCTTTTTTTTTAATTTTTTTATTACACATAAAAATGGACCAATTTTTGGAATACGTTGAAAAGCATCAAAACGACTTTGTTGAAAGACTTCGTAAAGCTGTTGCAATCCCTAGGTAAGAGCTACAAAGTGATAAAAAAAAAAGAAAGAAAGGAGTTTACGAATTTCTCGCACGTTTATTTTTAGTGTAAGTGGCGATCCTTCTCATCGTCCTGATGTTTTCCGTATGTCTGAATTCTTGGTCTCTGAACTTAAGGCCTTGGGAGCTTCTGTTGAAACTCGTGATCTCGGTAAGCAAGACTGGCATGGACAAACCTTGGACTTGCCTCCTATTGTTCTTGCTACTGTTGGTAACGATCCTTCCAAAAAGACAATCCTTGTCTATGGTCACTATGATGTTCAACCTGTAAAGTATAATATATATATATACTAAGATCGTTTTTAAACTTTAATATATTTATTTATGCTTGTATGTTGATAGGCACTTATTGAGGATGGCTGGAATACAAACCCCTTTGAATTAGTCGAAGATGATCAAAACCGCTTGATTGGTCGTGGTGCCACTGATGATAAGGGACCTGTTTTAGGATGGATTAATGTTGTTGAAGCTCATAAAGCCCTTGGCATTGAATTACCTGTTAATCTCAAGTTCTGTCTTGAAGGTATGGAAGAATCTGGCTCAGAAGGTTTAGATAGCCTCATCTTTGAAGAAGCTGACAAATACTTTAATGATGTTGATGCTGTTTGTATTTCTGATAATTACTGGCTTGGTACCACTAAGCCCTGTTTAACTTATGGTCTTCGTGGTGTCTCTTATTTCCACATGAAGGTGAAAGGACCTGTAAGTATATCAATGTGTATGTGTACAAGTGCTTTGTACGAGTCATTTGTTCATTTTATTATTAGCGTGCTGATCTTCATTCGGGTGTATTTGGTGGTACTGTTCATGAACCTATGACTGACCTTATTAGTCTTATGAGTAAACTTGTTGATCAAAACGGTAAAATCCTTGTTCCTGGTATTTATGAACAAGTCCGTGCTTTATCTCGTAAGTTTAACTTGAATTTTTTTTTTTAAAAAATTGTAATATTCGCATTTTAAAATAGAATTATTATTTAGCTGAGGAGGAAAAGACATATGATAACTTGGACTTCAAGATGGAAGAACTTTATGATGCAGTTGGTAATAAGATTAATATTCATGACTCCGTTCGTAAGACTCTTCAAGCTCGTTGGAGAAATCCTTCTCTTTCTCTTCACGGTATTGAAGGTGCCTTCTATAATCCTGGTGATAAGACCGTTATTCCTGCTTGTGTTACTGGTAAATTCTCTATTCGTACTGTACCTGATATGGAGCCTAAAGAGATTTCTGCTTTGGTCGTCAAATACTGTCAAGATGAATTTGCCAAATTGGGTTCAAAGAATAGCTTAGAAGTTCAATGTACTCATGATGGTAACTACTGGCTCTCTAGTCCTGAACATCCTAACTATGGTAAAGTATTATTTTAAAAATAATAGTAGTATCAACAGTAAACAAATTAATTTTTTTTTCTTTTTGTTTTCGTTTCTAGTTGCCGCTGCTAAAGCCGTTGAAACTGTTTATAACGTCAAACCAGATTTGACACGTGAAGGTGGTTCTATTCCCGTTACTTTATCTTTCCAAGATGCTCTTAAGAAGAATGTCTTGTTGTTGCCAATGGGTCGTGGTGATGATGTAAGCTTATTGTATTGTATTGTATTGTATGATATGATATATTAATTTTTATCTATTTTTTTTTTATAGGGTGCTCACTCTATTAATGAGAAATTGGATAGATCCAATTACATTAAGGGTACTCAATTGTTAGGTGCCTATTTGTATGAAGTTTCTAAAATTCAATTGTAATTTCATAAATAAATATATTATATAATACTTTAATAACTTTCTTCTTCATTAATACATGTGTCTAAACAATCATTTTTTATTTTTGAACCTACCCCCCCAAAAAAAAAAAAAATGGGTACAACAAGATATTAATTATATCAAAATTGCCCATATCAGATTAATACAGTCGAAGAAACTAAGTTGGGTCAATGAAAAAAAAATTTTGGCCATTTCCAAAATAAATTGGGATACCAATATGAAGATGGGGCACTGGTACGAAAATAGTACACAGAAGGGAATATAGGAAATTAAGATACTTTAGTTTGTTTGGTCAAATCAAAATTGTTACAACTTCTTACTTGTAACATCATTAAGTCGTCGGCTCACGGGACAACCACATTGGAGGTGGCGGTTTGTCGTTTGAAGACGGTGGGGCGATCATTGCCATTCCATATAGACTGAGCTATGTAAAACATATTTTTGCTGGCCATTACACCTCGAATCCAAAAGGTATTGCAAGTTTTACACTTCAATACCTGATGGATCATGGTCATCTTCCCTACACTTCAGATTTTCTATATCATTCTTAAAGCAAGAATGACAGATCTATGAAGAATTGGCTTTAGCTGAAAGTGCAATATGTAAACTATGTGTTGTTTTTTTCTTAATAACCTTTGATGTATTAAATTCGTTGATGTCTAGTAGCAAGAGTCCTCTAAGCCTTTGCCTTGTTTTTAATTGTTGATATATTTTGTTAGATACGCCATGACGGAGACCTTTGAACTTAATATGATCCTTGTTTTTTTAGTCCGTCACCAAAGACCACCAGAGGCATCTTGCTGCTGTTTCCCTTTTCAAAACAGGCTTTGTTGTTTCTGCTGTAAGTTACAGATATAATAGTTCGAGTTTACTGAAATAATAATAATAATAAAAAAAAAGTGTATACCTTTTTGATTTTGGGATGGTGGTGAGTGCTCTTTCTTCTTGAACATTACGAGGCTTGCGAGTTTTCCTCCTTCTTTTTCTATTTTCCTTTGTCTTCTTTCTCCTGCTTTTATTATACTTCTTTCCATCATTTATTAAGATGTTGACACTTTCTTGGATGGCTTTTTGGGAACTAAGGTAGTTCAACCATTTAATATTAGAAGTTTTAAAGCCGTAAAAATTAAGCAAAGTATTCATGTGCTGCAGCATGTAAGTTATGTACAAAACAAATTGTTCCACAGACCCAGTCTTAGGCGAAGGAATGTCTGTTTCAATCTTTTCAATACCTAGTCTCTGTTTGCGCTTCTGTTGCTCTTTCATTCGTCTTACATTTCCACCCATATTGTAATATTTGATTGAGGACAAGCGACGTATGTCAGTGCCACCGTGATAAGAGACAAAAGGATCCCGCCTTCCTGTGTTTACAGTACATAGACGGAAATGCTTATCCATCTCTTCGCTTGTAAAATCGTTCAACTCTAGACAGATAGTGTCTTCTGGTGATGACAGAAGCACTTTTCTAGTAAATAGAACTTTGCACGTGTAGCCATCAGTATACAATCCATTGAGAAATATCTTTCCTTTTTGTTCAGGCAGTGCTTGAAGCTTTTCACAACTATATTTTTTTTTTCGTCCGTAATTTGGTTTATAGATATATGTAATAGTAATGTATACCTTTGAATGCCAAGCTTCTTAAAGTCAAACATTTGATAGAAGCATCTTTGTTTATGATCGAAAGGAGATTCATTAGCTTGCTTTTTTTGTTTAACATCTGGGAAAATTCCGGTTAGGTTCTGAATATCCATCTTTATGAATCGCCAGTGCAATCCAGGATTTAGGAATAGGCTAAAATGTCTTGGAAGTAGGGACTTAATCAAAACGCTTTTGTCATTTTGAGAAGTTTGGGCCTTGTATATATCATCATATTTTTTAAGGATATGCCCTTAATGCAGATAGAATTTTGAAGGGTTCATTGTTTAAGCTTTCTTTAGACACTGGAAGCTTGGACATGCGATTCTTCACTTCTGAAATCAAAGGATTTAACAAACTTTTGTCGCTTTAGTTCTATTTCCAAATAGCTCACCCTTAATTTGAACATTGTTTAGCTATTTCTAAAATTACCTCTGTTCAGTACTGTCAATTGGAAGAAGGTGCACAAAACAAATGTATTAGAAAGATATTTGGTGATTCCAAAAAAGTCCAACATCAAAGTTATGCTACACCATGGCTAAGTTCTCGTCCATTCGTGAAAGATTACATATTCTGCAAGCTCAATTTTTGTTATGCTCATTATTATCCTCAGATCCTCTTTTATCCCAGTTAGCACTGTTTCTATAAGGTTATACAACTAGATTTCTATAGTCGAGACTCTTATCAATAAATCCAATTTGGAAAAACTGTCAGCCTGAAGTACATTCAATAACGCTGAATAACACTCAAAAAAAAAAAAAAAAAAAAAAAAAAAAAAAAAAATTAAACAAATTCGGATCCTACAGTCAACACAACTTGGATCAGCATCTCTATGCTTTTAACAGATCAAAATCACCAACACGATATCGACCGTATATACCTTTTGGCTTCCTATGTCCTTTGTAAAACGTAATCAATGCATTTGTTATTAATTGCCTTGGATGATTATCTAGTAGTCATTTCAACTAGTTGCTCAAAGTACCGTACATTATTTTCTTTTTTCTTTTAACAAAGCACTATGGAGTCTACTGTTCCCAAATATACTATCAGTTTCTGAGTGAGACTATTGAGGATTCTCTCTCAGTTCTCTCTCTCTCTCTTTCTCAGTTCTCTTGATATAAGCTTCCTTACAAACTAATTGCGTACATATTGCGTACATATTTTAAATATCCTTACTTGGTTTGTTCATTGTTGGCTAGCTATTTGTACAATCCTTCAAGAACTTGATTATCCTTTTTTTTTTCTTTCTTTTTTCACTATAAAGACCCATCTTTACTATCATCACATCTTGGTGGTCAATAGTTTCTTAGTTAACTACTCTTCTCCTTCTAAACAAGAGTGTCATGGCTATCATGCTTTGTTCCTTTTTTTTCACTTTTTTTTCTTTCTTCTACCCTTGTTCCTAAAGGGGTTTCCTAGTATCTTTTATTATTAATGATCTAACCCGGACAATTTTGATATAATTAATATCCTGTTGTACCCAATTTTGGGTTTCTTTTCTTTTTTTTTTTTTTAAACAAAAAAAAAATTTGTATTTACTCATTTGAAAATACATCAGGTATTATCAAAAAAATAAAAATAAAATTGTATTCTTTTTTTTATTTTATTTTATTTTTTTTTTTTTTTTTTTATTTATTTTTTTTTTTTTTTTTTTTTTTATACCTATTTTAAATAATCATAAAGAGACCAAGCAGCATTATTAACATTAATGTCGAGTAACAATAACAGCACAAATGTCGTTGGTGTTCATTATAAAGTAGGTCGAAAGTTAGGAGAAGGCAGTTTTGGTATTATTTATGAAGGTAAAAAAAAAAAAAATAAATAAAAAAAGCGAATATTATAAGTGTCTTGTTCCTCACTCATTTCTCTTTCTTTTTTTTTTCTTTTTTCTTTTTTTTTTTTTTATTGAAGGCACCAATCTGTTAAATAATTCTCAAGTAGCCATTAAATTTGAACCTAGAAAATCAGATGCACCACAATTAAGAGATGAATATAGGACTTATAAGATATTATCTGGAATTCGTAAAGTGTACTTTACTTAATATAAGCTCCTTTTTTTTTTTTTTGTTAAAGACATCCACAAAGGGGCCTTTTTTTTTATCCCTTTAAATTCCCCTAGAAAAAAAAAAGCTATTTATACTTACTTTCTCTATTTACATATTTATATTCATACTTAAGATGGTATTCCCTCGGCTTATTATTTTGGACAAGAAGGATTACATAATATACTTGTGATCGACCTTTTAGGACCTAGTTTAGAAGATTTATTTGACACATGCTCAAGAAAATTTAGTGTAAAGACAGTAGCTACTTTGGCTCGTCATATGGTAAAAAAAAAAAGGGAAAAAATAAAAAATAAAAATAATTTGCTAACATGAGTATATTGTAGATTACTCGAGTTCAAAGTGTACATGAAAACCATTTGATTTATCGTGATATTAAGCCTGATAACTTTCTTATTGGTCGACCAGGCACTTTAGATGCAAATACAGTTTTTTTAATTGATTTTGGCATGGCTAAACAATATCGAGATCCAAAGACAAAACAACATATTCCTTATAGAGAACGTAAGAGTCTCTCGGGAACAGCACGTTATATGAGTATTAACACTCATTTGGGAAGAGAACAGTCAAGACGTGACGATTTAGAATCCTTGGGTCATGTCTTTATGTATTTTTTGAGAGGTTCTTTACCTTGGCAAGGTCTGAAGGCTGCTACTAATAAGCAAAAATATGAAAAGATTGGTGAAAAAAAGCAGACAACTTCAATTAAAGATTTATGTGGTGGATTTCCAGGTAAATAAGTTAATTCGGGTATGCATAATATATACATACATACATACATACGTACGTACATGTTATTAACTCTATAAAATAATTTCTTAGAGGAATTTGGTATCTATCTTCAATATGTTCGTAAATTGGGCTTTGAAGAGACTCCAGATTATGATTTTCTCCGAGATTTATTCACAAAGGTGCTCAAGAATCATGGCGATGTAGACGACGAAGTTTATGATTGGATGTTATTAAAAGAGGGTAAAGGACTTGAAAAGAGAAACAATACTTCACGTCATCAATCACAACGTCAAACCGCTATGGCTACACGTCATCCAACAGAAGGCTATTCTCTTCAACAACAAGACAATCCTTATAGTCGAACTCAACCACCCATGAACATCACTAATTCACCAGCACCTCAAAATAATGTGAATGCAGGTCATCATCAAGAGTACAATGAAGAAAATGATTTACGGAAAAAAAGTTTTTGGCAGCAGTTTATTTCTTTCGTTACATGTGGGTTATTTTCTTGTCCTTAAAAAGAATTATATTATTCAATCAATCAATCAATCATATTCCCCTTCTTCCCTTTAATTTCTCTTTTGTTTTACATTCAAAATTTTAACTTTATTAAAATAAATATGATAATCTCAATGAGCACGAGATCTTATTTAGTACATTAAATTTGCTTTGGAATATAGATGAAAGAAAGGGAAGGGAAGAAAAGCTTGTAAGTGCAAGAGGGGAAGTAGAATGAAAAAGTAAAAGAAAGACATTGCTTATGAAGGAATCCTCTTCTAATATTTGTATGATTAAATGGAATATAAAATATTTATTTTGTTGTAAGTGAAGTCATTATGTTTATATCATACAACTTACGAAAATGACTAAAGGAGAGAGTTTTTAAAGCTTGGTAAGATATTCAAAAGAAAAAAAAAAAAAAAAGGAATTTGTAAGTAGCCACATCTGCAGTGTTTTAATAAAAGAGGGACACTATCCATACTCCAATTACATGTCATTTAGAGAAAAGGAGGTATTTTTTTTTCTTCATAAAATAAGTTGATATATAAATTGTTTATTTAAGGAGTCGGTCTTGAGTTATATATACATATATATATGCATATATTTGTATACATGTATATAATAATGATATCTTAGAAATTAATAGGAAAATTTACTAAAGAGTTTTGTTATATCAGATTGACAAAATATGAGTAATGGCAATAGATTGTAATAAGGACGCTTCTTGTAACGTAATCATTCGCATACTATAGAAAAGTTTAATTAAATTGAGTGATTGATTGAGAAGAGAGGAGGTATATCATATTAACTAAAACTACCAAAAGAAGGAGTTTTTTTTTTTCTTATTTCGGCAACATTGACTTCAAGCACTTTCAAACATTGAAAATAAGGCAACTTTGTGGTTTTCTGTTTTATAAATTATATTTACACGGGCATAAAAGGTAAATAAATAAGTGAAAAAAAAAAGGCATTCCAGTCCTTTCCTGTCAGGTTGAAATCTATTACAAATAATTAATTCAATTACTGGATTGAGTTATCCTTCAGAACGAGAAATATGAAAATAATGATTTCAACTGGAATAGATTGATTATATTCTTTATAACAACATTACATATCTATTCAATAACTAAAGTTATGGCTATATTTACTTACAGGCTTATAGCCTTTTGGCATTTCGTTTTTTTTTCAGCTATAAAGATGACATATCGTTAATAAGAAGCGCAGAGCAAGTAGGCAATAGACTACATAGAAGTTGTTATTTAATCATTTTATGCTGTAATGCTTATATATACAATCAAAAAAAAATTTACTTTTGTTCAAACTTAGTACAGGATACAGACATGTATTTAGCAAATGGGAGCTTAATGAAGTATTATTTATTTTCTTTTTCTATTTATATTAAGTTTAATACTCAAACTCTATACCCAGCGTTCAAGGACACCAGATTCAACAACTTGAGTATATATATATATATATATATATATTTTTACATACCAAGCTACTGCGTACACAAATTATCCTGGAGCGCAAAATAAAACAAGCGTCTAGATAGTCTATTGGATATAGTTGTTTTATACGATGATATTTAGGATGATTATCTGGTAAAAAAAGCCTTCAGCTATATTCACGCCAACAGTACTAGCTTATTAAAATCAACATTATACGATGTAATCATCTTAAATTCTTATTTACACGCTCCTAACTATTGCTGACTTCTTCTAGGATGTTGAAAACTTTATTACAACTCGTTGATTTGATACAGTTTAATATGACTAGTGAGCCACAATCATTGCCATTAGTACTATTTGTGCATTTGCCTTTCATACAATGGCTATAAACACATTAGATATTATATATACATTTATATATATATATGCTCACCTTTACTTTCCCTTTTTTTTTTTTTCAGAAAGAAAGAAATTAATCAATAACTACTGACTTCAGGTAGCTAAAACCCTTTAATCGATTCTATTATAGCATCTTATGTTGTAACAATAGGATATTTATCAAAATGGTTTATAAGACAATATCTTCATTTTTCTTCTAACTGATATATATATAGAATATTATTTTCTTCGGATTTATTCAGTCCAATTATGAACTGTACAAAGTGGTAATGCCAACTTCTGTAGGGTTGAAAAGAAAATTGATTTTTTAGATGATAAAGAAAGAGCAAATTTCCTCTTGTCCATCTGGGTAAATGATTTACAGTTAGCTTTTTCTATTTATTTGTTCAAACATGCATTTCCTTTGTGCTATACTACATTGGTAAGATTTGTCTACATGATAGGGATTTCCATTCCATCGCTTTGTTTATCAAGAAAGTTTTCCCCCAACTCCCACCCCACCCCCCACCAAAAAAAAAAAAAAAAAAAAAAAAAAAAAAAAAACTTGCAGCTACCTGGTACTGTGAGCGCTGTATTTGCTGCTGCTGCTGCTGCTGCTGTTGTTGTTGTTGTCGTTGTTGTCGTTGTCGTTGTTGTCGTTGTTGTTTTATCATCTCTTAACTGACTTTAATTTTTCTTTTTATGCAAGTCTATTTAATCCTTTCCTCTTCCTTCCCTCCCCTCCCCCTTTTTTTTATTTATTTATTTATTTTTATTTTTGTTTTTGTTTTTGAACTTGGTTCTCTTCTCTAAAAATAAAGATGATAAAATCAACAAAAGTTATTGTATACTTGTTAAGACTAATATGGATAGCATTTATAATAAAGAATGAATACTTTTTATTTTGGTCTTCTGCAAGAAACTGTACTCTCTCTACTACTCAACCTAATGTCGGTCGATTTATGTTAGTAGGTGATCCACAAATGACAGATGACATGTCTTATCAGCGACATCCAGTGATCATGTTTTTCACAAAATACTATAGTCAATTATATATGAAACGAAATTATAAGCATTTAACAAAGGCCTTGAAACCAACAGATATCTTTATGTTGGGTGACTTGATGGACAATGGCAGAGAATGGAATGATAAAGTGTAAGGTTCCCTTTTCTCTCTCTTTCTCTCTCTCTCTCTCTTTTTTTTTTTTTTTTTTCTTTTTTTTACTTTGGTTATATGAAAAAAAAAATTATAAATATAATATAGTTATGCCAAGGAAGTAAATCGCTTTCAAAAGATATTTCCTTCAGATAATATGATGATTCATTACATGGTAGGCAATCATGATATAGGATTTGGAAATGGAATAAAAGAACACTCTTTAGATCGATTCAAGAGTTATTTTGGTTCGACGTCTTATACATTTAATAAATTTGGATACACATTTGTTATATTAGATACAGTCTCTTTAAACTCTGATATCCCAAGTATTCAAAGTGATGCATTCAACCTATTATCAACTCTCTCAAATACAACTAAAACGCTACCTCGAATACTCTTGACACATGTTCCTCTCTATCGATCCCCTCATCAGTCCTGTGGTCCTCATCGTCAAAATCCAGTGAATACGATACGTGAGGGCGCTGGTTATCAATATCAAAACTTGCTTACAGAGTCCTTATCAAACTATATTTTAACTTCAGTTCAGCCCATCATTGTATTCTCTGGTGATGATCATGATTATTGTAAAGTCATTCATCAGTATGAAGAACAAGTGCAAGTGCAAGGGACAGCAACAGAAGCAGCAGCAGCAGCAGCAGAAGCAGTAGTAGTAGAGGTGACAGTACCTACCTTTAGTATGTCTCAAGGTTTACCTTATCCAGGTGTAGTCATAGTCGATATCACTGACAGAGGTGAACTCATAACGCATCTATGCTGGTTACCTAACCAAATCAATATCTTTATTAACTACCTTTACATGTCCATCTTAACCCTTCTTGGTTTGTTTCTTTGGCATATCTTTCAACCTTTATTGATCAATACCAACCTAATCATAAATACATTTTATCATCAAACATCATCAACAACAACTGAAACTCCTCTTCTCCCTCTCTACACCAACACTACTATTACTAATAATAATAATAATCAACGCATTATGTCCACTATGAAATATAATCTTTTGTCATTTTTTTATTCAATTCAATCTGTAGCTTGGATTGGATTTATGCTTTATTTGATTTGTATTCTATTCTTATAAAAAAAAAAAAAAAAAAATCGAAAAAACAGGATCTTTTTTTTTTTTTAATTAATTATAATGTTAATGTATAATTAAATTTAGAATGAAGGGGGGAGAGAAGGGAGAGAGGAGGAAGAAGGAAGAAGGAAGAAAGGTATACATATATATTTATATACTTGTATATAATAATAAAAGAGTAAAAAAGGGATATTAACTTGTATATGCCTACATGTATTTATATATTTATATTTATACGTACATACATGTATGTAATGTAAGAAAGAAAGAAAGAAGAAAAAAAAAGCCTTTTTTTAAATATATATATTTTTATAAATATATATGTATATGATAAAAATGATTAACAATTAGTATTTATGGAATATAAATCTGCTGAAGTTGAGGGTGTATCATTAAGAGGATTTCGAAGTAAAGCATTAGGATTTAATGTTTGTTGGGTTATAGATAAAGAAGAATGTAAAATAGAAGTAGGGCTTGTAGGAGCAGATAATTGATGTTGAAAGCGTGTCTGTGGTTGTGGCTGCTGTGGCTGTTCATTTAGATTATTATCTATCATAGATAGAGTGGATGTAGATGTAGGGGTTGTATTTGCATAAAATAAGGGATTAATGACTAATGATTGAGTAGGTGCTGCAGGGGAAGTAGTAGTGGTAGTGGTAGTGGTAGTGGTAGTAGTAGTAGAACTATTAGATTCCATAAAAGAGGATTCCATCGCGTTTGTAATTGTTAAATTAGTATTATTAGTATTATTAGTATGAGCAACGGTTGAAGTTGTTAATGTTTTATTAGCAAGAGAACGATATTTTTGTCTTGTACCACGGCCTAAAGATTGATCATTTTGTAAAGCAAAAATTTGCATTTCTCTTGAGTAACGATCCTTGTCAGCTTGAGCTTTTGTTTTCCATGGTAATTTTTCTTCCTCAGACATAGAATTCCATTTTGCAGCACAAAGTTTACTCACTTGACCTACATTTGAGCCTGGATGATTACTCATGATTTCTGGTCTTGTTTCAGTTAAGAACCACATATAGGCAGATAAGGGGTGCTTTGGTATATTCGAATTTTTATCTCTTCTACGTCTCTTTCGTTTACGTGGTAAATGATCATATATCTTTGGTGATTCTGCTAAATCTTGTTGCTGCTGCTGTTGCTGCTGCTGTGAATATGACTGTTCGCACTGATGCTGTTGTTTTTCATGTTGATGAGAGTCTAATGGTTCCTATTTAGAATAAACATGTATATACACATACATACATAAATCAGTTAAATCAAGATTATTTGTAACAAAAAACTAAATAGTGAAAACTTTTTTTTTTTTTACCTTAGCTAACTCTGCTCTTGAACGGCGTATATACATTGAATGGGGATGAAGATCTTTTTGCTCCTCTCTTAATCTTTTAGCTTGATCCAAGTATTGAACTTTTTGCTCCTAGTAAAATAGAAAAAGGAAAACAAATTCAATGTTAAAAGGAAAGAAAAACATACACACACACACACACAATAAAAAAAAATTGATAAAACATACTTGTGGCATAGTCCTCCAACGAAAACCAATCTCTTTACTAATGTCAGCTACTTTCAATGATGGATCTTGATCTTTTAAAATCTTCCTCATTTCCTTATTAAATAATAAATAAGCATTGGGAGGACGAGTGATACGAATAGATGTCTCGACTTTTTCACTTAGATCTTGGTCTAAAGTTGTTATAGAAGTTGATGACGAGGCTATACTTTGAGTTGTCGAAGTAGCTAAAGAAGTAGGCTGATGTAATTGAGAAGGAGCCATGCGGATTAAAGGAAACGGAGAGTACGTCATATTATAAGCAGAGTTTGGATCTTGTAAATGATTAATAGCTGATGGTGTTACCGAATGACTGAGCTGTCTATCATCTTGTCTATCTTGTTGAAGATGTTGCTGATCCGATTGCTGTTGTGTTAAAGAAGGATTATTCAACAATTGAGCTTGTGTTATAGCTGCATATTGCTGTAAACCGTATATATTACTTGATAAATTGTCTAAATATGTCTCGTTAGCAATTTTATATAAATACATATGTTTATAATAAATTAATAGCACTAACTCATTAAAATTAAAGCATATAAGAGAAAGAGAAGAAGAAGAAAAAAAAGGGGGGACAAAAATTAAAATTTTTATAAAAATTTCTACTGGTCTGACATCATTTACTGACTTTAAAATTTGGAATGACTTTGGATCGTTTACTACTTTTCAACAATAATTTTTTAAGAAAATTAAAATTGGGTACAACAGGATATTAATTATATCAAAATTGTCCGGGTTAGATCATTAATAATAAAAGATGCTAGGAAGCCCCTTTAGGAACAAGGGTAGAAGAAAGAAAAAAAAAGTGAAAAAAAAGGAACAAAGCATGATAGCCATGACACTCTTGTTTAGAAGGAGAAGAGTAGTTAACTAAGAAACTATTGACCACCAAGATGTGATGATAGTAAAGATGGGTCTTTATAGTGAAAAAAGAAAGAAAAAAAAAGGATAATCAAGTTCTTGAAGGATTGTACAAATAGCTAGCCAACAATGAACAAACCAAGTAAGGATATTTAAAATATGTACGCAATATGTACGCAATTAGTTTGTAAGGAAGCTTATATCAAGAGAACTGAGAAAGAGAGAGAGAGAGAACTGAGAGAGAATCCTCAATAGTCTCACTCAGAAACTGATAGTATATTTGGGAACAGTAGACTCCATAGTGCTTTGTTAAAAGAAAAAAGAAAATAATGTACGGTACTTTGAGCAACTAGTTGAAATGACTACTAGATAATCATCCAAGGCAATTAATAACAAATGCATTGATTACGTTTTACAAAGGACATAGGAAGCCAAAAGGTATATACGGTCGATATCGTGTTGGTGATTTTGATCTGTTAAAAGCATAGAGATGCTGATCCAAGTTGTGTTGACTGTAGGATCCAAATTTAGGAAGCAAAACTAACTTTAGACCATTTTGCATAAATCAATCATATCCATTTTAAGAATAAACTTTACATGTTACATACTGATAGATGACTTAATTCCTACCAGAACTAATTTTTTTTTCTTTTAGAAAAAAGTGTAGCAATTTGGACATCGTATATTAAAGAAAAACATTAAGAGGCCAATAATGAAAGTACGCCATATATTGAAGAGCATGCATCACTGTTATTCTTAAGGACTGTTTAGTGCCAAGTTGGTAAAGGAACCTATAAGGAAAACAAGCCATTCGAATGCATTTAAAAGGCTGGAATTGACTGTCACTGATGGCTATACAAAGAGGTTGACTTAAAATAGTCTTCATATTTACTAATTTGCCTTCATCTCCTTTTTATCTTGTATGTCCTACAGGGGAGGTTTTTAGTTTTTTTTTTTTTTTTTTTTTTTTTTTTTTTTTTTTTTTTTTTTTTTTTTTTTTTACTATCATTTTTATTGATACCATTTGCCCACAAAGACGAAAAAACTTTATTTAATCGTATTAAAATAAATACAGCCTCCCCTTAGTTCCATCTTGCATGAAATGGACTGTTTGGCTCATTCTTCTATTCCTCCAGTGCTAATCCTCTTTTGATTGAGTCATTATCTTAGCCTACCTCTTCGTGAAACTATCTCTTCTTTTTTCATATATTCTTCCCCCTTCCTAACCTTAGTCTTTGCTTTTTTACATCTTGTCTTAAAAAGGTTTTTTTTTTTTGGTTTCTGTTCGCTTTTTCAGCTTTTACAGCTGCATGCTCATTGGTTATAAAATATATTAATTTTAAAGCATTGACAAATGTACGAATAAGTCAAATATTCCTAATTTAGTAATAATTCAAATTAGGATGAAGGAATTCTATTTTTATTTGATGAATATATACAAACCAAAAAGAAAATAAAATATGCTTACTTTAGACATACAAGTGAATGTAGGCTTTTTTTTTAAAAAAAAAAAATGTGCATGTTGTATTTATCCTTATATGAACTCCTTTTATTAATAAAATATATAAGGCAATTTAATGACCTTATTTATTTTTTTTTAATTTCCCCCCTTATTTTTTTAATTTTTTAATTCTCATTTCTCTTTTTTTTTTTTTTTTTTCTTGAATTAATGACTTCATTACCGAATGAATTACTACAAAGAATTATAGAATTAACAGATCAAGAATATAGAATACCTTATCTTTTTGTATGCAAATTCACTTTTCACTTAGTTAGACAGCGAGTGTATAAAAAAGTTATTTTCCCTGATGATCAAGACATCAAGGGTATAGAGATTATTACATTTTGTCAATTGTACGGTTTATCACTTGAAACCATAAAATTGCCACAAGCTAAATATTTTCCGGATAAAGTATATCAAGATATCCTTTTACTATGCCCACACTTAAATTTCTTACAAAGTAATATACACCCGAAACAGCTTGTAGAGTGCAAACCAAAGATGTGTCTAAATACCTGCTTTATGGTAACTAATTTACCTTATCATCTTTTAATGGTTCATACGGATGACGAGGAAGATACGCTACCTATTTTCAATTCAAATTGTCAAATCACCGTTTATTTTGACTGCTGTCCATCTTTATTCATTTTCCCTAGTGAATTTATGCCTGGGAAATCATTAACACAGATATCGCATTATTTCCATCATCCAGGCGCGTTAAGTAATGCTATCTTGCCTACCTTTGGTTCTGATTTACTCTCGTTAACTCTTAACCCTTATGATGTCTTAACATCTACTGTAGCTCGGTTAATTGTAGCTAAATGTACAAAATTACGATATCTTGTTGCTCCTTCTGTTAAAGCAGAAGGATTATGGATGCTACTACGATGGTGTCATACATTAGCAGCTATTATTGTAGGTTATGATAGAAATTCATTGCCTTTTAACGATGAAGACTTTTTACAAGAAATGGTCGATTATAATCGACATCTTCAGTCTAGACAGGCATTAACAGAGCTCGAAAATGAAAGAGCAGTGGAGACGATACGACATCATAAACGAGTCTGGTGTGTACATCCAAATGTATATGAATATCATCATTTGAAAATTGTTTCATGGCATATTGGAATTATACCAAAAATCTAGCACCTCCTCATTCCCTCTTCCCCCCCTTTAATAAAAATTAAGTTCAATAGGATTAGACAAATTAAACAAGTATATGTATACATGCCTAGTATGTAACTGAGTTTTGTTATCTCATCTTCTCTTAAAGATGTAATTATTGATTTTTAATTCTTAGTATGATCTGGAAGGAAACAAAAATAAAATAAGATAAATGAACCCTATTTAGCAATCATAACGTGACTCGTCATAATTCCTACACTCATTTATTTTTTGATGCGTAAACCCTACTCTTTCTTCTTTTTTATATAGATTAAATTTCAAGCTAATGTAATCGAGTTCAACAAACAGGCTCTTTTATTTAATGGTTTGCCGATACTTTTTTTTGGCTTTGTTTATTATAGTTTCTAAATCATTAATGCTTCAGGGAATCATCTAATATAGAAAAAAAAAAGGCCTTTCTTTTATAATTAACAGATTTCTCATGTAGAAAGGTTTTCTGATAAACGATTATCCTAATCTTTTTGTACATTTTAGTTCATTTATAAGAAAGGAAGATGAATGATCTACTCAGAATAGTAGCAATTAAATTCAAGTCTCCATCATACTACTATGCCCTCTGTCAAACGACTCATTTCTATTTTAGTTTAAATAGTAAATCTATTCTGATATTTTTTTTTTTTACCCGAGATAGAGAAATACGAGTGAATTGAGTCCAATATACTAACGTAGATACGATGATTTAGTTCATCTTATAGAGTATAAGTTGTTCCATCTTGCAAATGATGATTATAAACAGACATAATACATCTTCTTTATTTGCATGATATATAATAATTAAAGTTTTTTTTTTTTCATACATATAATTATTAGTTTGTGAAATGAACGTATCTGAACGACAGCCGCAGCCGCACCCTTCCATTCCAACCACCTCTGAGGGAAGTTGTGCGGTCTGAAAAAAGACACTCCAGTCCCTTGGGGGGCCCCAACCATCCCACGGCCGTGAAATAGCCGGTTGATGATCAAAAAGAAGAAAAGAAAAAGGGAATTTTTTTTTTAAATTTTTTGACTCTCTTTTTATACCTTTACTTTGCGGAGTTGTTTTTTTTAAGGAGTAAAATTGTAAGAGATTATTTTTCTTGTCCAATTAAATTCAACATCTTTTTATATGCATTATACATGTGAAAAAAAAAAAAGAAAAAAAAAAGTGAGTCAAGTTGCACTATTTATTTGATTGGAGAATATATTTTATTTGACTAATAATAATACTACATACTTGTATTACAGCTATTCAAAATCATAAGAATGATCCCTATATTCAAACAAAAGGGGCTACAGATGAATAAATCACATAATTTACATTATGCATATTCTATGGCAGAAGAATATACAAGTGAAATGGGAACATGATGCTGACTTTCTTCTTTTCAGTTAGAAGATTTCAACTACTAAATGTTAAATAAATCAAATGCACCTATAATTTGTTTATTACAGGAAGGGGTTTTCATAATTATTGATCCGACCAGGGCAATTGAAGATAGAAGAACAATGACGGTCTTTTAAAAATAAAAATAACTATTATTATTCACTCATTCATTCTATTAATATGTATTTGCATTGTTTTTTTCTTTTTTTCTTTTCTTTTCTTTTCTTTTCTAGAAACAAACAAGAAAGTCGAATATGACAGTAAAAGTTATTTCAAAAGCACAAGTTAGAAGAAATAACACTAAAAATTCCTGTTGGGTTATTATAAACAATAAAGTGTATGATGTAACAACGTTCTTGGCAGATCATCCTGGAGGAGATGAAATAATATTGCAATTTGCAGGCATGGATATAACATCAGTATTGAATAAGGCTAATTACCATATACATTCAGATGCAGCTTACGATTTGTTAACCGAATATTACCTGGGTGATCTTGCAAAAGAGGAGAAAGATGAGGATGAGATTGTAGAATTACGTATAAAACAAAACATAGTAGAAAAAAGAACAAATAATCGGGATGAGGAATTTCTAGATCTTCGTAAACCTTTGTTTCCTCAATTATGGAATGCAACCTATTCGAAAGCTTATTATTTAGAACAAGTCCATAAACCACGTTATACACCTTATTGTGTTCCTTATTTTGAACATCCATTATTAGACAAACTATCTAAAACACATTGGTATATTGTGCCTATGATATGGTTACCTTTTGTTGGATTTCAACTTTGGAGATCACTTAATACTTCTAATGGATCTATTGAAATAACATTAACAGGATTTATAGCGGGTGTCCTTTTTTGGACATTATTTGAATATATACTTCATCGATTTCTATTTCATTTGGATTCCTTTTTACCTGATCATCCTATAGCTTTATTAATTCATTTTACATTACACGGAATTCATCATCATATGCCAATGGATAGGTAAATAATTTTATCAAATAAGAAAAATGAACTGTTCTTTTAATTTTTGTTTATTTTAGATTACGTTTAGTGATGCCCCCTGCATTAACTATCATCTTGAGTATTCCAGTTTTTAAGTTAGCTCATACTTTATTCTATCCTGCACTTGCTTTTGCTTTTATTGCTGGAGCATTTTTCGGTTATGTTTGTTATGACATGATTCATTATTATCTTCATCATGCAAAAGTATTTAAAATCTATTTCAAGGAATTGAAAAGATATCATGTAGCTCATCATTACAAGGATTTCAATAGTGGATTTGGAATTACTTCTAAATTTTGGGACTATGTTTTTGGTACTGTTTTAACCTATGAAAATAAAAAGTAATAATCCTGTAGTCCATACTAATAAAAACAAAACAAAATAAATCATGGATAATAATACAATGTCATATATATCCTATTATTATCAGTTTTATTTTAATACAGTATTATTTTTTTTTAGATGAGTTCAAGACATTGTTGTCTAATAATCACATTCTATATATTTCATACCATAAAAAAAATACCCAGAATAGTAACTATTTACCCCTATCTTTTTAATAGTTTTTTTTTTTTTTTTTTGAACACCGTACAAGTCTTTATCAAGGCGATGTCAGGGGTTTCAGTTATAACCTTTTTTAGGGTGGTGAAATATTCAATAAAATACAATACATACATTATTTAAGGGTATTCAAAATAAGAAGTCATCTATAATAGAGTCTACAAAGCATAGTTGACGAGATAAAGATGTGGTAGATGAATACGAAATAAAACTATTCTAGTCTCTGTATCGTGACTGTTTGTGGTAAAATTTATCATTTTTTAAAAAAAAAAAAAAAAAAAATTAAAAATAAAACGCGTTTTTTTTTTCTTTATCAACATGGTTTAAATTGTTTTATTCTTCTCTTCTAGAGTGATGATTCCTTTTTATGCAGAAGAACTTGGAAACATTAATGCATTGCGTATAACGTTATCTGTTCCACCAACATGTGATGTTGCTAAAACAATTGAAGTAAAAAATAATGTTTTAACCTTAGATGGTATAACAGTAGCTGATCTTTCTTCTGTCAATGTCCAAATCTCAGCAGATAATCTTGTTGTTACTCGAGCAACTGAAACTAGTGAAGATGGTTTATTACCTTGGGAAATAAAGTTGTCATTATTGCAAAGATCTAAAATATTAAAGTCTGAGCAAACAGAGGTAAAGGAATGGTGGACCTCCAAGCAATTACTCAAACAACCGCAACAGAGACAATTTCAATGTAAACATTGTAGTCAAGTACTTGTTGATGCTTCCACTGATTTTAAAATAAAAGATCTGCCTTCTGAACATTGGTATGAGTTAATTGAATGCTGGATTTGCCATGAAACTAAACCAGAAGAACATCGTACACGTATGAAACCTATTTTATCTCGTGCTGATGTAATATTAGTGGGTACTACTTATTTCTTGATACATCCAGAAAATATAAAAGCAGATTCAATTGAAGTAGATCCTATTGTTGCAAAACGAGTTAATGTAAGTCATATTTGAATTTTTTTTTTTTTTTACGTAAAAGGATTTCAAGAAGGATATTGATGCATTAGATATCATCATTGTCCGATACAAAAATCCAAGATTGAACCTATTTTTTTTTTACATGACATTTAACAGTTTGCTAAAAAAAAAAGAAAAAAGACAGCAAACTACTACGATGTCAAACATTTAACTTGTAGAATGTTTTATTTTAACAAACTATTTTTATTTTTTTTTATGTATTAGTGGGAACGAGGTACATTAACAAAATGGATTGCAATAAACTGTAGCTATTGTAAAAATGCTATAGGTGAAGGACAATATTGTATAGAAAATAATGAAGAACAACTGCTGGCAGTTAAATTATATAAATACTGTATTCAATTACAACCTACACTTGTTGAACAACCTACGTTTACAGATTTTCTTGTTTCTGACTTGGTAAATACAGCTAAAACACATGCAACACATCGATTCTTGATACAAGGTCAACAAAGTCAACACGCATTTGTACTAGTGAGTGTGTATAGATAGATAGATATTTATTTATTTACTCGGCTGGTTTATTTTTTAGATATGGTTATTTAATTGGGATATAAATATAATTCATAATAATGGATACTCAAACGATGATTGTTGTAAAGATGATAAGCTGAGTCGAGAACGAGTGATAAAAGTCATTTATTTAGACTGTAGAAAAGAAGATGAAGACAGTAAAAAATGCTTAAAATTATGGTTAAATGATAAATCTACAGACCATTTAATATATCCTGACCGTGTATGCGATGAGTTGGTAAATGAATTAAATCAATCTAATCTTATTCTACCTTTTTATATGAGAAAAATGAATCATCCAGCCATGATTTTTACGCCAAACTTCTCTATTGGTTTTATCAAGAAGAAAACTTAGATAATCAAGATTGGATATGTTTAAATTTATATATATGAAGTGTATATTTGTCATTTTTTATTTTATGTGTCATTTTTTATTTTATTTTATTTTATTTTTTTGCATAATTCCTCTGCTTTTTTTTTTCCCTTCCAGTTTGCTATGAACACTTTACCATTAGAAATTAGAATAAAAATATTAGATATTTTATCGACTACTACAAAGGAATTATACGAATTAAGTCTTGTAAATCATGATTGGAATTTAATTGTATCAACTACAATCCTTTACAAGTCTCCCGCTTTAAGATCAAAGAATCAATTTTACGCCTTTTTAAATAATATTACAGCTAAAAATCAATTTTATATTCAACATTTAGATCTGACGTTTGTTCATGAATATGTACATAAATTAGATCTAAACTACATGACAAATTTAAAATATATCAACCTTTCTAAATGTACTCGATTATCACCGTTTATTATTTTCCAACTCATCAAAAATAACATAAAGGGATTACAAAGACTTGTGTTAGCTAACTGCACTATCTCAAGTGATATATTAAAATCGATTGGTCAAGCAGCTAATCAACAGCAACTTGAATGTCTTGATTTAACGAATACAATGATTCAACCTTGCATAGCCATTGATGCTTCAAATCATTTAGAAGATATGTTATTACTTGATCAAAATCAACTTCGATATTTAAATTTATCGTACTGTACATGGGTCAACAGTCAAACCATAGAAAACATTGCTTATGGTTTACCAAAATTAGAAATCATTATCTTACAGTGGTGTAATCAGATTCAACTAAAATCAATTATCATCATGGTTCAACAGCTTGAATATTTAAAGATGCTTGATATTCAACACATTGATACAATTGAAAATAAAAAACAGGTCTTGAAAATTATAAAGAATACTAGATCTGCTCTATTAAAAAAGATAGTTTTTACGTGTAAAAAAACTGTAACAATTGAAGTTGCTTTATAAAAGAACAAAAAAAAATTAGTATGTTTAACAATAGTAATAAAAACTTGGAAAAAGAATAGTCTTTTTGATACAAGTAGTCATAATAAAATTAGTTGGATACCATTTTATACTGTCATTATTATTAAAAGGAAAACATACACACACACACACACACACCCATGATAGAACTTTCCTGCGAGAAATTAAAAGTCTTTGTAACCCCTTCTAAAAAAAAAAGCTAATAATTTAGATATACGATGACCTTGATCTCTTGAGAAAGTAACTCTTGGTTATTCTTTACAAAATCAGCATCATCTTAAGCAATGCTCACCTTGTATCTTTTTTTCCCCTAGTTGTTTCTTATTATTTGAGGTAGAGATTGGCTCTCTCGAACCAAACTTTGATAGCTTTCTTGTTGGGCTGAGATAGCATCCAAAATAGGCATAATGTTGGCTTCTACTTACTGTAAGTCTTGGGTTTCGAGCTGAAGATCAAAACTTACAAACCGAGCACTATTTTTTTTTTTTTTAACCATCTCCTTGGTCATTTTTCCTAAATTTTCATTCATCTTTTGCTTCTCACTTTCTTTCTATTTTAGCTCTCACTATAAGATAACTGCTATAATTTTAAAAAAAAAAAAAAAAAAAAAAAAATGTAAGCTCTTTGGATTTAAAAAGAGGGTCAACTTCCTAAAAATATCCATCAAACGGGAAACCCATGCTAAATTTAGTAGTCTTATAAAAAAATAAAGGAGAGAGAGCTTTTTATTTTATTTTAAATACAATGTACATGCAACATTATAATATATACATCTATATTATTCCTTTATATGGCATTGTTTTAAGTAAAGTTATAATATAAATAAAGGAAAGGAAAAAAAAAAAAAAACGGATAATATATGGCCCGACTAGCATTAAAAATATACTTTTTACAATTATTTAATTGGATAATTTATTTAACAATAACTGGAGATTCCCTTTTATATAAATAAATATACCTTTATTGTTATATTAATCCATTTAACGATTAGCAATGTCTGAACATGAACATTCACATGGAATGGGACATAGTCATAATTTGGACCCATCCTTCTTTATAGAAAGTGCTGCAACAAATGAACCTATTGGTCTTATCATGACGATGCATATTACTTTCATGGTTATAGGTAGAATATATATATATATATATATGTGTGTGTGTCTTTATTATTAAAGAAATAATATTAACTAACCAAATTCTTATTGTTTTCTTTTTTCCCCTATCAAGCTTTTGGTATATTATACCCTTTAGGTATGGTGTTAGGTTTAGCTAAAAATAGATGGCATGTTCCTCTACAAATACTAGCAACGGCTGTATTTATCGTGGGTGTATTTCTAGCCCATGCACATAACGGTAGAAACTATGTAAGTTATTTAAATATATATATATATATATACATATTTACTGTATAAATTGTCCTCATCCTTGCTTCTTCCTTTTTTTTTTGAAATTTTATTATAGGAACCTCATATCGCGCATAGATGGTTTGCAAACATTGTCATTTGGACAATTATATCACAATTTAGTTTAGGCGTTTATCTTAAATTACATTTAGAAAGAGGTATACATGGTAAAATAAGACCTATACTTGCCAAACTTCACAAGTGGATGGGTGCTTCTATTCCAGTGATTGGATACATTCAAATCGTATTAGGTGTCATTGCTTCACTTGGCTTCTGTTATGGAGGTATATTAGACACTTTCTGAAAACCAATAAGTTTATAATATTAATCATTTTTTTTTTTAGATCATACTGGACAGTGCTTGGCTCATTTCATCATGGGCTCCTCCTTTGCGGCTTATGGTATTCTATTATTATTATCTTTACGTGTAGGGGGTCCATGGCTGTTAAGAAATGGGAAAAGTCAAGAATGGTATGATAGTTGGGTTATTACACTTTGGGGAATTGTAAATACATTTACTGAGCATAGGTAATTTTTTTTTTATTTTGGAATTCCAAGTTGAATATACAAATATATATGTTCTTAATCATTTGAATTACAATAGATGGGGACAACCTTGGAATCATGGTGATTATCAACATACTTCAATGGGCATTATTTGGTGGGCAGCAGGCACAGCAGGTATTGTTTTAAGTAGAAAAGGGAAGAGAACGGTTATTCCTTCTGTTTTGATGATCTTGACTGCGGTTGCCTTTCAAGGACATGCACAACATGTTCCTAATAGTGGTGCTATTCATTCTTATTTCGGTTATATGTTGGCTGCAGGTGGCTTAAGTCGAATTATCGAAATTTGTTTTGTTTGGAAAGAAGGAGTATTTGAAATCTCTCCATGGCAATACATTCCACCTCTTGTAAGCTTTATTTTAGTGAAGTAGAAATTGTGTATCATTTTTGATTTATACATCTATTTATTTTTTTAGACATTGATTTTAGCAGGATTGTTATTTATGGGATCTACAGAAGAGCAACTTGGATTGCTTGATGCGGTCGGTATTGATGTGAGTTCTTATAGTAATGCTCTATTATCTTTTGGCTTTGTTCTATTCGTATTTGCCTTTTGCTTGATCTATCTTTGGGAAACTTTGACGAATTATCCTAAAAAAAATAATGACTATGCTAAAGTAGCAACAACAGCAGCAGAAGAAGAAGAAAGAAGAAGTTTAAACTCTGCTTCTGCATTCTTGGATGAAGAAGAAGTATTTGATGAAGATTATAATTCTCAACAAGATGCTGTTGAGCTCAAAGTTACAACTCGTAGATAGTTGTATGATGATGTATCTATATATTACCTACCTGTATAAATAAAAAGTATTTTTTTTTATGATATCTTATGTAATAGTTATAGTGTAGAGGGAAAAAAAATAAAATTAAAAACACATTAAATATATGTCAACAAGTTATTATCAAAACTAATATATATATGCATATATATACATATTTATATATATATATATATTTATGTACATTAAATAAACAAAATAGAATAAAAAAGGCGTATAAGAGGGATATGAGCTTTTTTTTTTTTTTTTTTTTTTTTTGTAAGGGAAATGAAAGACAAAACTAGTTAAAATAGATTACTTTGCAATGTGTATGTTGTGTTGTATAAAGGCCAAGTAGAATAAAAAAAATGGAATTTTCTCATGTTGTGAAATTATAATTATATATGTATACACACACACATATATATATATATATTTATATATAGGAAGGATCTTTTGCAACTTTAGGTCGGCCTCTTGATTTACTTCCACCAGTAGCTGTCCTTCTTCTAGGCTTCTTCTTTTCTTCTTCGTCTATTGTTGCTGTATCTTCAAAACCATAAAAAGTCTTTGCCCTTCGTGATCCTCGGGTATCTGATGAATACATTTTCCATTCACCAATTAAGCCCTCTTTTACATTAGCTTGTTCAATCCAAGTTAAGATTTCTTTGGCTGACTCTCTATCTTGAGGTCTTGTCTTTAAGCATTTCAGTAATAACTGTCGACTCAGTTCACCATGGACCTCGCCCTCTAATGCACGTTGGATACGATAGTCGTCCTCTGCCACATAGCGTAGTCCTTGTAAATCTGTATCTAAAATACCTCGCCATGGTTCTGTATCTGTAAACACTTTCCAGATCATGACTCCAATTGAATAAATATCTTCGGCTTGTGGATGAATTAACCAAGGAAGTACTTGATTATCCGATCTTGTTTTCGGTAACGTCTGAATCGATCTATACATACGATACCCATGATCTGGTTTGCCTTTCACCCATGGCAACGACTCACACCATGAATCTAACTCTTCCTTTGTTTCTGGAACAACGTCTCCATCATACTCCCATTCTGCACGAGGTACATCTACAAACCAATCCCGTACATCCTCTGCTCTACAGAACACGGCCTTACCAAAATCAATTAAATAAAGATATACTTTTTCACTACCATCTTCTAATATTTGACCCTCCACTGTATTCACCATAATGTTTACTTCTGAAAGATCTCTATGAGCGAGGCCTGCCTCATGAATAATTTTCATACAGACTAACATTTGATAAACAATATCATATTTTTGATAGGCTGATAATCGATGGTGAGAATGTACATGTGTGTATTGTTTTAATGTAGTTTGGTATCTAAAGGCGAAAAAAAAAAAGAATTGAAAGAGTAAGTAAGTATAGCTTACCCCCCTCCCTATAGACACATAGGTAATATATGTATATAGTTTACCTTTCCATAGATAAGCCTGCTACATCTCCATTATCATTATATAACACTTCTCTCATCTGTGCCATATGTGGCAGATTTTTTAATTTCCTAAAAAAAAAAAAAAAAAAAAAAAAAAAAAAAAAAAAAATTGGATTATCAGTATTAAAATTCAGATAAAAATAATAAATACTTACATAAGACAGGCAACCTCTGTAATACGTTGATACATGGTCATTTGTCTAAATGCTTGAATCACAATACTATCAAAAAAATAAACTCTTTTAAAGAAGCCCTCAGAATTGGGTGAACTCCAATTTATATTTCCATGTTCAGATATATTTCGAATCAAAACGCCTTTACTTGTACAAACTAAAGAATACAAGGAGATATTATGATTAAAATTAATCTTCATATATTATTATTATTATTATTGTTACCATTAAATAATTTTTTCCAAACTTCATGGTTCATTTCTTTTGTTCCTAATCTTTGAGCATTTGATTGAGTAATGATCTTCTTTTTAACATCAATATCCATCTTTTCTTCTTCCGGTCTATATATCTGTTTTTCATCATCTGAACCCTCGTTTGTTTCCATCGCTTCCTCTTCTTTTGTCTTTAACATACGTTGTTGCTGCATGTTTAGACACGCTTTATCATGATGATTAGACTCGTTTTTGATTACGGTGGTAGTTAACGGATGCTGTTGTTGCACAGCATTTGAGATTTTCTGTTGTACAACATCATCTTGAATTGGAGGCAAACCTAAAATCTGTCGTACAACTTTTTTTAATAATGCCTTTGTAGCAGGATTATGATGTCCATTCTTATCATCAATGGCCATCTTTGAAGTAGCAAACATTCTTCTAAAATAATCACGTTCAATCACCTCATTGACTTCAAATTTAATACGATTCACAACACGTAAGGGTCTCAGATGGATCCATCCCTTAGGTGCAAAATCATCTGTACATTCATTGATTTGATCGATATCAAATAATTCACTCGCTGGATAGGCCAACACCATGTCCGTTTCAATATTGATATTCTTGCTGGACCGTACACGATTTGTCTTTGTATTGTAAAATATAGCCAAGACACCTTGTGAACGAATTTGTCGTAGAAGAGTACGATTTTTAGCAATATAAAAGCGAGGCACAATGTGATGATTCCCTTCTAGATCTAATTTCATACGTTCGACTGCTTGAAAGAAGGGTCCATTGAGTTGTAGATAAAGGAGCTTTTCATTTGTTAATCCTTTAGGTTTACGTGCCTTCGGTTCTAAAGGAGATAATGCAGAAATAGTATATACTGTACTTTGCTCTGAAAATACTTGTCCAATAGGAGGATACGAAAAATCAGATTCTTCAGGCAACACATTAGTGGGGTCAAATTTGAAATCATGAGGACCTAAAGGTTGTTGTTGTTTTCTGTATAATAGAATAAGTCATCCAAAGTATGTATATATATATGAAGGTAAAAAAAAAAAAAAAAAAAAAATGGGAAGGGGAGAAGGGAAAGGATCATATTTGTTACCTTATCTGACGTTTTATATCCATAACAATTTTAGTGAATAATTTTTCAAGATTATCAGCATGTTTAGGAATTGTACCAGCGTTTCGATGAAATGTTCTGGCATTTCTCCAAATGAGTTGCATATCCTTCTCAAATCGAGCAAACTTTGTATATTTTCCTTGCCATACATTTTGTTCAATCGTTTGTAAATCCATTGGATTTTTAATTTCTTGATGGTATAAAAATGCTGTCTCAGGCACAGGCTGAATAAAGGGCCAACAGTCAGGTGTAGAGAGCAACATGTTAATAATAAATCGATATAAACGTAAAAATAAGCGAGTCACATTGTGAGGAGGCTCATATTTGATATGCGATAAATCAACCATGACATCATCAGATGAAGCCGATTTCTTTATATTACTATTTGCTTTTGTTGCTAAAGGTTGTTCATTTAAGACGGTATGAATGACGATATTTTTACTACGAAGACCTGCTACAATCATACGTTGAAGTGCTACTAAATCACCATTCGAGATTTGAGACCCTAAAGTTTGGCAAACATCTTTATCACCTGAAGTGCCCAAGACCATCGTTGTGATCAGTTGCATTGCAGCCGCGGGTAAGACCTGTTGCGAATCAGTGGGTAAAGGATCAAGTATATCTACTTGAGGTAACTCTTCAAATGAAAGATAAACACCGAGAGTACGCAAGGTAGCTATTGTTAAACGTCGCAAGTTAGTTACGTCAAGATCAGGTTTCATAGGATCGGTAGGGTCATCAAAGATAGCATCTAAATTGCCAGGATGTCTTGCGAAATGTAAACGCAATTGGGGTCTAGGTGGAATAATAGGCTTTGTAGATGTTTCTATAGTTGGTGCCTGTACTACAGTAGGTGAATTTATTATTGTTGTAGGAGAGAGTGAAGGTGAGGGGGCCATGACCATTTGAGCCGTAACAGATGAGTTGGGTACTGAGTATTGAGCAATAATAGATGAATTTGGCATGGAAGTGTCTTGTTTGGTTTGTATTGGTGAGATATTCAATTCCTGGTGATTAGAAGAAGTAAGCTGCTGTTGAACCGAAGTATTCATGTTAGTGGTAGTTACAACAGGAGTAGGAATAGTAGTATTAATGGTAGTAGGGGTAGTAATATTTAAATTTTTGGGGATAGACTGAGATATATTATGAATAGGCGAAGAATTAGGCGGCATCTGTGGAAAAGGGTGTTGAGAAAATGAATGTTGTGGTGGTGCTATATAAAAAGGTTGATGTTGAATTTGAGTCGGTTGTTGCTGAGAAGAAGAAGATGATGATGATGGTGGTGGCGGTGGTGGCGGTGGTGGTGGTGGTGGTGGTGGTAGTTGTGGTAGTTGTGGTAGTTGTGGTTGTGGTTGTGATTGTGGTTGGGAATAATGTGGCAGTGACTGGGACTGTATTTGCGACTGCGACTGTGATTGTTGTGGCTGTTGAATTTGAGGTATAAAAGATGAATGATCATCTATTAAAATAGGTGATCTTGAACGTTTCCTATTAACAACTGGTGAATTATTGATATTATTGAAAATAGGTGGCGGGGATGACAACAGCATGCTAAGAGCATTCGTTTGCTGTGATTGTTGTGCTTGAACAAGTGGAGGTTGAACCTGAGAAGATAGATGATGTGCTTCAGAAGACTGTGGTGATAGTTGTATTTGTGTTAAAGCCTGCGGTTGTTGATTAAATTGATTATGATTTGGTCCATTTTGATCAAGCTCTTCTACAGGATAACCTTCATTATTTATTAATCATTAATGTTAGCCAGCTTCCATACACTTGTATATTGTATTTTACCTTGCATAGCTAAACTTTCACGAAATAATTTATCTACTAAATCATCGTCGTCATGTAAATCAGAATTACTAGTTGGTTGATTGAATTCAGCAAAGGTTCGTGGATCGTTATTCTCGTCTGTTGGCATTAAAGGTTCAAGAGATTGAAGTTTCCATAAAAGTTGCATGTTATCAACAAAACCATTAACTCCAACAGGGGAATCATTGCTTTCCCTTAATGCCCAATTGTCCATTGACTGAGAATATATAGATTAAAAAAGAATAAATAGCTGCTTTATTATTGTTGCAAAAAAAAAAAAAAAAAAAAAAAAAAAAAAAAAAAAAAAAAGCGAAAAAAAAGGAATGTATTTTTTTCCTTTCTTGTATTACGAATATAGCTTGTTGATCGCTCTAGAAAAGATTTCCATTTTACTGTTAATATTGATATTTTTCAAAGGAAAAAAAAAAAAGTAGATATTATTAAGAACCTTTTTTTTATCTTCTCCTTGTATTTGAAAAATGTATATTCTATTATTACTTTAAGATTAAAGTATGAATATACAAAGATTATGTAATTCTACCAAAAAAAAAAAAAAAAAAAAAAAAAAAAAAAAAAGAGAGAGAAATCAAAAAGATGAATAAAATTTTAAAGCAGAAGAACCTCTTACAGATACACACACAAAAAAAAAATTAAAAATTTAAATGTCCGATAAATAAGGGAGTGACGTATGTATGCTTTTTTTAATTTGCCGCGCTCCTAAATTGCATTTTTTTTCAGAAGCAGCGTCTTGTTAAATCAGAAAAACCTTTATTTTACACCACTGTCCCCTTAAAGCAAAAAAAAAAAAAAATAAAAAATAAAAAATAAATAAATAAATAAATAAATAAAAGCTTATTATTATTATTTTTATATTTATAACCCTTTCTCTTTTTTTTTTCTAATATTTATTTTTTTTTACCAACAACACTATGAAAACATTGCAAATTTCTAGAAAGTTAAATGAAGAATCTTATCAGGATAGGATGGGTATATCTAAGCATTTATAACTCTTTATTCAATAATAGAAATCATATATTTATTTTATTTAGATAATTTAATGGTTGAAAGACCGTCTAAATTTGATTATATCTATTCAAATGTAATATGATATGCATATATTTTTTCACTTAAAATATCAAAGATAATTAATACAGATTCATTACCTAGTCCATAAAGAAATTCTTTATCAAATTAAGAGGTGTAAGTCTTTACGGCCATTATGTGTTGAGCTGAGCTAAAATAAAATATTGTATATAAACATTAGACTACAGTTAAAAATGCTAGTAGAATTACAACAATAGGAGATCAAGAAATGAAATGTGAAACTGACAGGTCGACACTAGATCCATCACATGTTTTAATTCATCCTTCTATTAAAATTGAGCCATCAATGAAGAGACATAATTTATCCAGCTTATCTTTGGATTCTAAACAAAATTATCAAGAAAAAAATAAGGGCTGTTTATCTTCTACTGTGAAAAATAATCATTTCAGGAGAAATAGTAATCCTTGTCATACCCTAGATTTATCGACAATGATAAATGACAATTCAGGAGTGACATTAGAAGAAGACAATAGTCATCTTCCTCGAGGACCTCATGCAATTCGAGAGAGCTTGAGATATAAGAATACCTTGTCTTCATCAAATGATTCTATTATACAAAAGAGAGTATCCTCTTTTAATTTGATGCAGCCATCCAAAAGCTCTATTTCATTAAATGAAGGCGTCCATTTGGTTAATAATTTGCATCATGAGAAAATAAAAGATGCTTCATTATCATTCAGCAAAAGAAAACAAGATGAAGAAGAATGTTTTTTATTACAAAAACGTTTATGGGAGGAAGATATTACACTATGTTCAAAAGAACAAATTTCAGAATTTCTTGGTTTAAAGTAAATGAATCTTCCCTTTATATATATAATATACATGTATTCATCTCCTATATCAAGTTCTATATGTACATATATTAAACTATAATTCTTTATACATGTATATATGTATGTATAAATATATATTTATATAGAAATTCTACTAGACAAAGGATATTACAATTATATATGAATAATTTCGATTTTAGCAATCAAAGATTGGATAACGCATTTCGTATTTTATGCTCTAAACTCTATATGAAAGCAGAATCTCAACAGTTGGATCGTATTATACAAGCATTTTCTAAACGTTATTTTGAATGCAACAAAAACACTCTGTTGCTTTCTCTTGATATCGTGTATGCTGTTGCTTATTCTTTGCTCTTATTAAATACAGATTTACATGTAGTAGGTGGTGGTAGGGCGACTAAAATGTCTAAATCTAGCTTTGTAAAAAATACAATGGAAACAATACAGTCCCTTATATTACCCGAAATAGAGCAATGTGAAGAATGTCTATCCACTATAAGTTATTATCAGCATAAGGACTCATCTCCTTTAAGCCAAGTTAACAACTCTCCATCATCAATGAGTCATATTGTGTTTAATGAAAAGAACCTTCCTCGAGATAATTCTATCAGTCAAAGAGTCGAAGACAATGATATGCTACAAAGACGATATGCTTTGAGTTCAAAATTATCAGAATATGATAATTTAATAACTTGTACACAAGAAGTTTGGTTAACAGAGATTGAGGGGTTATTAAAGGTAAAATAACTTTTTCTTTTTTTTTCTCCTTACACACACACGCCCCTTGCATAATAACACAACTTTATTTTATTTATTTATTTATTATTTATTATTTTTTTTTAAAATGCATAAATCTGTATAATACTAAATTAGGAGATGTATGCAGCAGTAAAGGCTCATAGAATAGATCAAGCAGTAACTTCCAACAAACCTAAAACTGACAATGAGGGTCCACGTAGTATACAAAGATCTAAAACATTACCTAAAAATATATGTAAAGAGACTCAAGGTTCATTGCATATGAAAAGAAAGAGAGGCTATTCCTTTATTCAACCATTTGAATCTAGCAATCACTCTATAACCAATTTTTTCTTAACAGATAACGATTTAGCTTCTTTATTCACGACCCTTAAGAAAGAGGAATTGTATAGGCAAGGACTTGTGATGCGTAAACATTTAATGAAAAGTACAAATAAGCGAGCAAACCATCGTCAATGGCAACTTTGTTATTTAGTAATGACTGATAGTGAATTAATTATGTATAAACCTGCTATCCAACAACGAACGATAAAGGATTATATAAAAGGGAAAAGTAGATTACTTTGGAATTATTATTCTTCAAATTCGTTGTTTTCACTACAAGATATTATTCAGCATTATCCTTATTGGCAAGCAAATAAAGATGCACCATGGATGGATATATTACAAATGAATCATACTTATACAACTGCAATTCCACCGCCAGGATGGAATCCTCAACGTCCTCATGTCTTTCGTTTAGAGACAAATGAGGGTGGAGTTTGGTTATTTGAATCGACAGATCAATTTGCAGTACAAGCCTGGGTAGAGGTATGTAACCTTACCGCCGCTAAGATTAGTAAAGGACCATTATTAGGTGCAATTTGTAATGTCAATTATGGATGGAAGGATATAAATGATTATTGTAATACGGGACAGCAAGAGTTAGTGAGGATATGGTATCCACCTATGCCATGTATGATCAATAGTTTTTTGAATATTGATGAGCAATATGATGATATTAAGACTCAAATTGAGCAGTTACGTAAAGAACTAGATGAACATCGTAAACTGAAATTGTTAGTAGATAAGAAGGTGACTTATAAATAGTTTTATATACATGTATCTATATCTATCCATTTTTTTTTACTCAATAATACTATATAGTTTATCATTGATGATCAACAGGGATGCACTGATAGTATACAAGCTATAAAAAATTGGGACAGAAAATTACATTATATTCTACAAGAGATGGCTAAATTAAGATGTTACCGAGATATCCTTATAACTCAAATGATATAAATAAATTTACTATTTTAATTCAAATAAAATCTTCACTTTCTACCATCACCCCTTACTCTCTCCCTTCCATTATTGTATTTTTTTCGGGTGTTTTCAAACTCTTCCTTCAAATTATTCATATATAAATATATTAAGAAAAAACAAAACAAAACAAAACCTTCCCCTCCCGGTGTTACAAAATAATTGTTAATCTTTATGATAGTAAAAGATATATAATAAATAGAAAGATTTCACATTGTAAAGGAGTCAGAGTAGATGAGTTTGATACATGCAGTCGACCATTTTTTCCTATAGTATCATCTGGATAAGGAGCTGACTGAGAGGGTTTCACAGCTATACTTGATCTAACTGAGGTACTAGAACCTATATGTGTTCGGGAAGGAAAATGGGTAAAGACAAAGGAAGTAGGTGAAGGTAGAAATGATAAAGAATCATTGCTTTTGCTGCCTATTGTTGTTGTATTTTGTATTGTCAATGCAACAGAGTCTCCATCTTTAATCAAATTATTCGAGACTAATGTTGTAGGTGCTGTACTAGATTTTTCTTGAGCTTGTAGTACTTGAATTTGATACAAAATTATGAAAATAAAAGCAAAATAACGAATATACATTTTAAAAACGAAGAGAAATAAAGAGGAAAAAAAAAAAGAGAGAGAAGGAAATATTTATTTAGAAATACATTTATTATTAACATAAAAGGGGAATAATAATTAGGGGAAATAAGAGATAAAGGGGGAGGGAGAAAGAGAGAAGAACACACAATAAGGAAAAGATAAAATGAGTTTTATTATGCACGCGCACATATAAAAATATGTAATATAATGTCTTTTAAATGATTTCATAGTAAGAAACAAGTTATATATATATATACTAATAATTATGATCTTATTTACGTTTTGTATTTTTGTGCAGCAGCCCAGTCAACTACTGGACTTGCAAGTAATTTTGCCCAAATAGCTAAATAGCCAAACCATGCAGGAATATAGACTTCTCGTTCCCTTGCATCTGATGCCTGTATGATACGGTCTGCGACTATCTTTGGTGATAATTTATTCTTTTTTGAACCTGCAATACTTCCTTCTCCCAATGATTTATCAACTGCTGATTGGCGTAAATTAGTATCCACTGTACCTGGACAAATCAGACCAATATGGATACCGTAGGGTTCTAGTTCCACACGTAAGGAATCAAAGAAGCCATGAAGTGCATGTTTTGAACCTGAATAGAATGCACGCGTAGGTGCTCCTACTTTACCAGCCATAGAAGATACAATTAAAAAATTAGGTGATTTTGATTTGATTAATAACGGTATAAATAAACGTGCAGTCCAAATAGAAGCAAAATAATTAATAGTTGTGATTTTTTGTAAAGCTGAATTAATCTCTTGTTGATTAGAGTGTTCACTGATCGAAAGACTGCCATCAGCGTCTTTATTAATTTTTATACCACAAGAGTCTAAAAATGGCCTTACAGAAATCATACCAGCACAATAAATGACTGTATCAATGTCTCCTTCAAATGTTTCTTTTGTTAATTGTGCTAATCGAATTAAATCATCTTCAATTGTGGCATCACCAGCTAGGTATACTGTCTTACTTGAGCCTGCCTCTAGGCATTGTTGTTTTAATTCTTCTAATAATTCAGATCTGCGAGCAAATAATATTAGACTAGCGCCTCGGGATGCATAACTAAGAGCACATTCTTTTCCAATGCCCGAAGAGCAGCCTATGATGACAACTCGTTCTTCATGAGGTTTAATTTTTTGTTTACGATCCTGATTTTTTTTAAGTAAATAATGTACAAGAATGGCACCTACAATTAATGCAATGAACTCTTTCTGCATTGAAGAATAATAATAATAAAAAAAATAAAAAAAAAAATGTGGTGTTACTTTTTTTTTTATATTTATTTATGTAAAAAATAAAAATAAAAAGGAATGTGATAATAATATTAGCACAATTTAAGTAGCAGCACGTCTAAAATTATATCTTGTAGAAGCCACTCTAATAGGCCTTTTAATGATAACTTCTTCTTCTTCTTCTTTAACTGTAATCTCCTTTTTTATTGTTTTTCTTGGTTTCTTTAACTTTTTTTTATCCTCTTCTTCCACTTCTTCTTTTTTCATTTCTTTTTTCACAGTAATCGTTTTTCTCTTTGTTTGAATCGACACTCTTAATTTTTGTCTAGCTGGCGCAAAAGCGGAAGTTCTACCGCCCACCTAAAATAGATAGTTTTTTTTTTTTTTTTTTTTTTTTTTTTTTGATTATTAATAATAAGAAAGCCATTCAGGTATTATGTAATAATAATAATACTTTACTGTTTCAAACTTCAACTCAAGTCCATTAGGCAATTTTCCTTTCACTTCATTATTTTTACCTTTATTCCATCTATGCTTCATTAACCAATCTTCAGGGAACTTGGATTCATCTGCTTCAACTTGTACAGCTAATTCACAGACATATTTCATTTTATTATACATATCATCTAATTCTTTATCTGTCAAGGTATTTGTATATTGAGCAGGATGAATCATGGCTTGATACAAGATCTCGTCTGCTACCCAATTACCAACTCCAGCAGAAAACGATTGATCTAATAATAAGGCCTTCACAGGTACCGCACGCCTTGTTACCAGTTGTTTAAATTGTTCAAAATCTGGCATATTCAAGACAGGATCAAAACCCAGCTTACTGATTGGCTCCACTAATAAAGGATCTCTTGCAGATATTAAACGAAGTCTAGCTAATCTTCGTGGATCTCTGAAGCCAAAGTAAATCTCTTCCTTTGTCTTGGGATCAGTAAATGTAATAAGTAATTTATAAAAGCGGGGCGGCCATTCAAGTCCTTTTGCTAATTCTTCATGTTTAAACTAGTTTGTTTTGTATTATTAATGTAATTATTATATCATAACATATACATATATTTCTTGTATTTACTCGAATACCACCCGTCATTCCAAAATGAGCTACTATGTGGGGTCCATCCCCTTCAAATACTAGATAGATAGATATAACATAGATGAGCACTTTCGATTCTAGATAAATAAAATATAAATTGCTTACATAATACAAAGTATTTTCCCCATCGTTTTGTATCAACGAGTGTTTTATTCATAATCGCTTTTGCAAAGGCTTCATGTTCAACGTCTTTAAACACAATATGATCAGGTACCTATTATATCAAATAGAGCCTAATTTTTGTTAATAAGATGGATCAATGATAAATGACGATAACTTACAGTCTCGACATTAGTAATGATATGATTGAGACATTGTCTATGAATACGCAAGCGGGCACGTTCAACCTATTTATTTTAATATCAGTATAGATTTTCCATTTGCTTCCATATATATATTTATTTATTTACTTCTGCTATCTCGGGCATATTATATAGATCTAATGAAAGCAAGTGAAAGAAGAAGAAGAAGAAGAAAAAAAAAAACAAGTAGTAGCTTTCACTTCAATGTTGTTGCTGCATTTGAATAGTATCACAATTTACAGTCTCCGCTATAATAAGTTCTTCTGTAGCGACGATGTGGCTTATTGTTCACCTTTTCTTTTTTTTTTTTTTTCTCTGTTAATTATTACATTTCAATTGTATATGAAATGAGTACGGAAGAAATTACAGACTCATTAGAAAAGCTTTCTATTAAAAAGAATGCTTCAACTAGTTCTTCTTCAGTAAAACCTAAATTATCATATGATAAAGCAGCTTTAAAAGAACGTTGGAAGATCTTAGGCGCTGATCCTGAACAAAGTAAAAATAAAATAACTCTAGCTATTTAAATCTATTTTTTTTTTATAAAAAGTCTCTTTATACATATGCGTCTATTCCCTGTTTTTTTTTCATTCATTCATTCATTCTTTCTTTCTTTCTTTCTTTCTCAACTGAATTGAATATGACCTTCTTAGGTATTTTATCTATGATTCGTAAGGCATGTATGAATATATTTGCTCGACAAGATTTTTTCAAAATCCTTCAAGCGATTAAACAGAGTTTTGTACAACGTGATTATGAAGGTATATTTACAGATCCAGTTAACTTGGAGGTCTACACAGCTGCCTATGTGCCTGGTAGAGCATTATGTTACTTTGAACTCTTCTCTATGAGACCAGCATTATTAAAGATATTAATGAAAAGGAGTCATCTGTACTGTATTGGTTCTGGATCTGGATCAGAGTTAACAGCGATTGCAGCTGCTATGACACGAGTGCCTGCAGAACGACAAAGGGTAAAGTTAATCATGCAAGATATTGGTGATTATAAGTCCATACTTGATTCATTAGAATCTACTATTCGTGAAAAATGGCTTTTAACTCCTGAACAGCTTGAATGTACATATGAGCAAGGTGATATACTGGATCCAAATAATTCAAGTATTGATACACGATTAGCTGAAGCAGACTTGATTACATTTATGTTTGTGATGAATGAATTATTTGTTAAGAAAGCGGCAGCAATGACTTTAATACAAAAAATGATACAATCTATGAAAAAGGGAGCCCATTTATTAGTATGGATATAATATATTATATACATATATTTGATAAGCATAGCATAGCATAACATAACATAGTATAGCATAACATATATACAACAAGGTATTTATTGTAATCTTCAATAGGTAGTTGAATCAGCTGGATCATTCTCTCATTTGAAAGTTGGAAATAAAACATATATGGTCTATATGCTCTTGGATGCTATTAAAGACTTGGAGTTAGTAGTTGGAGAGGATTCTCGCTGGTATCGGTATAGTATTTACAAATATATATATAAATATCTAATTTTATTACTAACACTCTATTACATAATTAGACATCCTGAACACTTGAAATATCCTATCGACGTTCAAAATATGAGATACTTTATTAGATTATATAAGAAGAAATAAATATGGATACATGTGTATGCATATTATAGATATAACTACTCGTTATTATATGTAATGAATAATAAAATACTCTTTTTTTTTTTTGAGATAAAGAAGTATTCACTTTATAATGTAACCATCATTTCTAGTCGTTGTTTAAATAAATGGGTGTGAAAATACTTGATTTATTTATTATTTGCTTATGTAACGTGAGTTTTTTTTTTATCCTTTTTCTTCCACTTCTTCTTCCTATATGGTTTCTAATAACAACGCTAAATTGTTTCTTGCATGGTATCTTTCTCATCTTGCAACGTCACCTCTTAAAACAAAGGCATATACATCAGGTGTATTATCTGGGCTTCAAGAATTAATAGCACAGAAATTATCAGGTGCAAAGAAAGTCGATAAACGAGTTATTCAAATGGCTGCCTATGGTAAACTAGGATGAATAAATAAGAAGAATACATTTATATTCTGCTAATTAATGGAATGTATGCTCATAGGCTTCTTTATCTCTGGTCCTCTTAACCATTGCTTATATGAATTAATGAATAAAATATTTGCGGGTAAGACAGGTAAAGGTGTTAAGATAGGTCAATTACTTTTTTCAAATTTAGTCATTTCACCTATTATGAACTCAGGTTAGTTATTAAGCTGCTATTATATAAATATATATATGTGTGTATATCAATTATAAATATTTGTTTTCTGTTACAGTGTATTTGACGGCCATGGCTATCTTGGCTGGTGTTCATTCTCCTGAAAAGTTGAAAGCCAATATTAAGAATGGACTTTTACATATGCAAAAGGTATCTTGGACAATTTCACCTGTAACATTGATTTTTGCCCAAAACTTTTTACCTCCTTCTACTTGGGTTCCTTTCTTTAATTTGATTGCTTTTGGTAAATGATTATTATTTCATGATGCAGTGAATATTAACAATATATTATCATAGTTTTTGGTACATATGTAAATACAACCATAAAATGTAAACGTCTTAAAGAAGCAGAAGCCAATAAGAAACAATAAATTATACCTAATAAAATAGATATATTATTTATTATTAACAAGTGATATTGACAGTGTAGTTCACCACTTGTCTTTTTTTTTAAAAAAAAAAAAAAAAAAAAAAAAAAAAAAAAAAAAAAAAGAAAAAAAATATTACTATTGTCACTCAAGATGCCAAAAAATTAAAACATTCTTTTTTTGGTAATTTACTTTGTCCCTTTTTTTTATTAACTTTTGTTGTTGTCGTTGTCCCCTTCCACCTTTTTTTTTTTTTTTTTCTTTTCTTTTTTTTCTTTGTTTGTTTCTATATTTTACACATATACCCTTTTCTAATATTTTTTTGACATAATCACATGTTTCCAACATCTGTGCTAGATTTACCCACTCATGTTGAGTCTGCTGAATTGGGATATGGCAAATCAATGGTCTTTGATACTTCAACAATATCTGCTATTGGATTCTTGAAACATTCACTTGGAATGATTCTTGGAAATCAAGACTCGAAGCAAATATTTTACTTTTTGTTACTCAATCTCTTGTACATGTTTGTTCAACTAGCTTATGGTGTATGGACAAACTCTTTAGGCCTTATTTCAGATGGTATTAACATGATGTACATTTGCATTTAACTTGATTACTAACAAGGATTTATGAAATGTATAAAGCCATTCATATGTTCTTTGACTGTCTTGCTTTAGGTGTAGGTCTATTTGCTTCTGTTTTGAGTAAATGGCCATCGAATCAAAAGTATTCATATGGGTAAGTTGGATGTGAAATGAGTTTAATCCTAAAAATTAATATTAAATCATATATTTTCTATTCAGGTATAGCCGTATTGAAACTGTTGCAGCTTTTTTTAATGGCATCTTTCTTGTTTTAATATCTGTTTCAATTGTTATGGAAGCCATTCAACGTCTTATTCATCCACCAGAAATGAGCACACATCGTCTTTTACTTGTAAGTTTTGTTGGTTTGATTGTTAATTTAGTAGGAATTTTTGCATTCAATCATGGACACGACCATGGACATGGCCATCATCACCACCATCACGGTCATCATCATCATCACGGTCATGACCATAGTCATGGACATAGTGCTAATATGCAAGGCGTATTTTTACATATTATGGCTGACACCTTAGGCTCAGCTGGTGTGATTGTATCTACGTTATTAATTCAATGGTTTGGTTGGACTGGTTTTGATCCCATTGCTTCATTATTTATTGCTGTATTAATCATCATGTCTGTTATTCCCTTGATTCGTCAGTCTGCATCTGTATTGATGCTTACGTTAACTGATGAGACGGTGAATGAGGTTGAAGGTACACTTGAGGAAGTAAAACGATTAGAAGGTGTTATAGGTGTTGATGTTTATCGTTTTTGGCCTAATGAAGCAGAGACAGTCATTGGTTCTCTTCATGTATTTATCCAAGAAGGTGTGAAAGGACAAGAGATTCGTCAAGCTGTTACTGATCTTTTTATGAGTCATGTAAAAGGAATGAAAGAGATTTGTGTGCAAGTAGAGTCTATTAATTCTACTCGACTCTTAAAGAAGAAACAACAACAACAACAACAACATTATAATCATTCTATGGAACATCCTTATACATCTAATGATCATGTTAACTTTAGATCCACCTTACTTCCTCAGCCCACATTCGCAACAACAGAATTCTCTACAAATCAACCTGCATTGTTGTTGTCCAAGTCATTGAAAAAGAAGGATTAGATAAAAAGGTGTTATATATACAAATAGTCAATCATAATATTATTATAATTATTTTTATTTTTTTATATAAAGACCATTAAAGCTTAACATATTTGGGCAGACTTCTTTTTAGTATTGATAGATTCATCATCTGACTTTGATGATTGACCATCTTCACGAGTAGCATTGTTAGGATTATTAGTATAAATTGAGCTATGAGAGTGCTTGGCACGATGTTGACTATATCATATATATTAGAAGGAGTATGAATTAAATTAAATAACAATATACGTACCGTCCTTTGGCAATCGTCTTTTCATCAAGTTCATTTAAAGAATGAATAGTAGCCAAGATATCTCTTACTAAAATTTCACAACGAGAACGAGAGAAATCTTCACGAACGACGATTCTCAACATCTTCATATGTTCTACTTTATGAGCCATTGTATAAGCAGGTACAATCCATCCACGTTCACGTAACCTTGAAGCAATATCAAATTCATCATAGTGATGTCTTTCATTCAGTCTAAATGCGACTAACGGCAATCCACGACCCTCTCTCTCACTCAGGATCGTAAAATGACCTGTCTCCTGTAACCTATCAGTCAAATAATCTGCAGTCTCTGTCAAATTCGTCATGATCTTCTTAAATCCACTCTTGCCCAGACGAATCAAGACATAATACTGTGCAATCACATTAGACGCTCCTTTACTAAAGTTCAATGTGAATGAAGCTTGATCACTTCCAAGATAATTAATATTAAAAATTAATGATTTAGGGAGGTATTCAGGGCATCGCCAAAGACAAAATCCGATACCAGCATACGTTAATCCATATTTATGACCAGAGACGTTGATCGATACCACTCGACTTAATCTGAAATCCCATTCAAGATCAGGATTTACAAAGGGGGCAACAAACCCACCACTAGCAGCATCTACATGAATACCCACATCCCAACCTTTTTCTTTATTTTTTTCTTCCAAGAGTGCATTCAGTGTCTTGACGTCTTCATAGTGGCCAGTATACTAAATATGAATATAAAAGAGTGATTATATTAGTATGCATGTATGTATCCACATATATATTTATATCGAAAAGGAGCCCACACTTTACGGTAGAACCTAAAATGGCACAAACACCAATCGTATTTTCATCTACAAGCTCAATCGCCTTATGAGGATTCATATAAAGACAATCTTCAGTACATTCTACTTCGCGACCTTCAATTTCCAAATAACGAATTGCTTTATGCCAAGCTACTTGACAATTAGCACCCAAAACCAAATTAGGTTTATCAAAAGGTAAACCTGCTTTCTTGCGTGCGTTTTGCCAACGACGTTTCATAGCAAGGGTAGCTAAAATGATAGCTTCAGATGAGCCCACTGTTGAACAACCTAAAGCTTCTTCACTTGCACTATGCATAGGTGCATGAAAGAGACGAGCAATCATATTAACGCATCGATTCTTTTATATTAAAAAAAAAATCAAGTTAAGAAGGACTTGATTTAAAACGTTTATATTTATAAACTTACACAAAGTTCTGCACTTTGAGGATATTCTTCATAATCAATGAAATTTTTTGAAAGATTCTCGGTCATTAATTTTTCTGCTTCATCTTCCATATAAGTTGTTACAAAAGTAGCAAGATTAAGTGCAGGATTTCCATCGAGCTATGATAAATAGAGATATAAACAATGCCTTTATATTTAAAGAAAAAAAAAAGAATAATTATATCTTACAGCCAAGTCATCTTTAATTAATCTATATGCAACATCTACAACAAAAAAAAAGAAAATATGAATGGAATTATTCTGAATAAAAGAATTTGTTTATCTACTTTACTGGATGGCATTTCATTCTTTTAATGCGAAATAGAACATGTGAATAAATAAAAATTACTGCTGACATATTTCGGATAATGACGAAAAATAATTTATAGTTACCTCTGGCAATTCAAATCTAAAATAAGCATAAAATTTAATATTCTAGTAAAAAAAGGAATATAATTAAAAGTTACCTTGGAATATCCTCTGAAGCCCAATGAGTACCATAAATAGTTGTACCAACAGCGTCAGGATGAAACTCTCCATTTTTTCTAGATTCTTCGATACGAGCTTATTATTATAGAAATGGAACTTTATAAGTCTTATCTTTCCTTTTTCATTATATATTCTTATTTTACCATCAGAAATAGCACTAGCGAGAAACACCATTTTTTTATTTATTTATTTAATAACCTAGATGAGAAATAAATAAATATGCAAAAAGAAAAGAAAAAGAAATACTAAAAAAAAAAAAAAAAAAAAACTACTTTTATACTGAAGCTAATCATTATTTGTGAGACAAAATATCTTCATTTTCACATTTATTGCAAGTGGCATAATTATTACGTCGTATTTCCCGGATAACAAAATTTATAATTTCCCAATTTAAATCTAGTGTTTTGAGTTAAAACTCTTATCAAATATTTAAATAAACTTACTGAAGATAAAGGGAAATGATTCCTTTTCATTTATATGTAATTATTCAACTAGCTTGATGATACTTTTAACTGCTAGTGCTTTATATATATATATATATATGTGTGTATATGTATGTGTATATGTATATTTATATCTAGAAAATTAGTTTGTCTTTGATGCATCTGATAAGGATTAGACGTTGTTTATAGCTCTCTTCTTCCGCCAATCAGCTTCTGTTTCTCTCCTCTGGTTTGCTATACTATTAATATAATAAAGTTAACAACTTATTATTGTTACGTTTTATTCACTTTATCTATTTTGTTCAAGTCTCAATGTTGGAAGTCTTTTTTTTTTTTTTTTTTTTTTTTTGTTGGTAAATTTATAAGGACTTGGATGCTAATACTCAAATTCTGGATGGGAAGTTTTTTTTTTATCTCTGTTTTATCTTCTTTATTTGAACAATAGTTAACGCTATTAATTTAATATGAAAAATCCCATTTTCACATAAAAGCATCTTTTCTATATTTATATTTGATAAATACTATCACGTATCTGATACATATATATATATAAAACAGCAGTCTGTAAACAGCATCATCAATATAAAATTGTATTCAAAAGTGGAGAAGACGGAAAGTGGTAGTAGCATCCGCTTTGATCACAGTCACATTAATTGTCACAATTATATATTTTTTTTCAAACAAACAAACAAACAAACAAAAAAAAAAAAAAAAAAAAAAAAAAAAAAAAAAAAAAAAAAAACTTCCTTTATATAACAGATAGCAATGAAATCACAACATCAATCTTTCAGGAAAGGCAACTATAAGAGAAATGGACCCACTCCTGGATCAACTCTTCCAAGGGCAATGCAAGAAGAACTAGCAGAACAAGGTAAATCTATTCTATATATATATATTTTTTTTACACTAGATCTATTGTAATGTTTACCCTCCCTCCCCTCTTTTTTTTTATGGTGCATTAGAAAAAGATGAACGTAAATTTGGAAAAAAGTTTATAAATAAAATCAGTAATCGTAAAGAGCTTAGAAAACAAAAAAGAGCTGAAAAAGGAAAACGTAATGCTGAACATCGACAAAGGAAAAGACATTTTGAAGAGCCCCTTAAAGCTACTGTAAATGGAAATAACAAACGTCAAAAGACAGAACCCAACACAGTGACAAAAGCCAAGCCTGTAAAAGAAGAAGAAGAAAAGGTCTCCATACCCAAAAAGACAAAGACGCCAGCAGAAGCTATACAGCGTTTATCAAAGAAAAATCCTGGATTATACAAGCTGTTACAGTCTGATAATTTAGTGAAGGGTTCTAATCAGTCTACCACAGATGATGATTTTGCTGAAGATGATCGTGAGATTGCATACTGGGAGAAAAAACTAGGCTTAAATAAGAAAAAGGATAAAAAGTTGGGTAAAGAATTTGAAGAAGATGGTCTTCTTGATCTTCTTGGTGGTATTGAAGGTGAAGAAAATGATGACGATCTTGAGTATTTAAGGAAAAAAAGAGAACAAGCAAAACTGAAAATGATGGAAAAAAATGCTGAAAAAGTATGTAGATTGGTAAATTATTCATTTTTAACCTGATTTAATTTGTCAATCTTTGTATTGTAGACAGTAGATGATCTTTTTGCAGGTTTTAATAGTGATGAGGATGATGAAGAAATGGGAGATGATGATTTAGAAAAAATGAGTTCTGATGAAGATGATGTTGAATTAATTGAAGAAAATGATATTAATAGTGACGAAATGGAGCAAAATGAAGCAGAGGAAGAGTCAGAAGAAGACGAAGAGTCAGAAGAAGACGAAGAGTCAGAAGAAGAGTCAGAAAAAGAAGAAAAAACTGAACAAGAAAAGAAAAAAGAGATACCCAAAACTCAGGAGACGTTAAAAGGCAATGTCTTATCTAAATACGTTCCTCCTCATTTAAGGAAAGCAACAGAGGGAAAATCAGAAATGCAAATAAAACTGCAGAAACAACTTCAAGGTCAACTTAACAGATTAAGTGAAAGCAACATGGAGAGTATTTTGCTTGAAATTGAAAAATGTTATGGAACATATCCTCGTCATGGTAAAATACAGTTGATTTATAGATAAGGTTTAGAGTATTTACATATCGTTTTTTTTAGATGTTACATCAACGATGACTGATATAATTATAACTTCCATTTCTCAAAAGTCTAACTTACTGGACTCATTCGTTATTACATATGCTACCATTGTTGCTAGTCTTTATCGTTTAATTGGTATTGAATTCGGTAAGTTACCAAATAAACATAAATAAAACCACGCATTCACGTATTATATCTATTATTTTTTTTTATAGCTGCACATTTTGTACAAACATTGATAGAGACGTTTGAAAAAGATTACACTAAATGTAAAAAGGCAATTGATATGGGTGATAATGAAGGCGATGAAGGTTATGAAGGATCAAAAGAAACAAAAAACTTGTTGACTTTGGTCTTAGAATTGTATAACTTTCAAGTTTTATCCTGCGTTATCATTTATGATTTGGTTCGCATGTTAATTGCTGATTTGGATGAATTTAATGTAGAGCTCTTACTCAAAATTATTAGAAGTAAATATTGAACTGATTATGTTGTTTTTGCTCATATGGTTAACCAAATTAATATAGCTTCTGGTCCTGAAATACGTAATGATGATCCTACATCTTTGAAACAAATTATTGATGAAATTCAAAAGGAAACCTCTAAGCGTGACCCAAAAACTATCTCGTAAGCAAAATGAATTTATGTAAGTGACACAAATTAACTTTTTCTATTACAATAGTACACGTTATAAGTTTATGCTCGAAACGATTACAAATGTAAGAAACAACAAGATTAGAAATGGTCAAACAGCAGGTGGTCATGGTGATAAAGAAATGGTTTTGAAGATGAAGAAATTCTTGAATGGATTAGCAAAGAAGCGTGCTGTTCGCAGTACTGAAGCTTTACGTGTAAGTTTAGATGATATTCATAATGTTGAAACAAAGGGTAAATGGTGGCTAGTGGGCGCATCATGGAAAGATAATTTGGTCGGTACAGAAAGTAAATACAGTACAAGTAAAATGCCCGAAGATTTGAAGAAAGATCAATCATTACAGGAAGCATTATTAAAGCTTGCAAGGAAACAAGGGATGAATACAGATGTTCGTAGGACAATTTTTGTAACAATCATGAGTTCCGAGGTTAGTCCCTTTTTTTTTGTTTTGTTTTGTTATTAGATAAAATTAACTGTAACGTTTTAGGATTATTTGGATGCATTTGAAAAACTAATGAAACTTGGCTTGAGTGAAGTACAACAACGTGAAATTTGCCGTGTCATGTTGCAATGTACAGGGAATGTAAGGAATATGTTACATATTTGAAAGTTTCCTTAATTACTAATATAATCATTTTGATAGGAAAAAACATTCAATCCTTATTATATGCTTGTTAGTAAAAACTTTGTGAAATTGATCATTCATTTAAAGTCACTTTCCAATATTGTCTTTGGGACTTTCTTCGAGAATGTGGTGAAACTGATGTAGGTGGTTTAGAAAGAAGCGCAACCGAGAATTTTGTTAGTGAAGAGAGTCAAAAAAATGTCCGTCTTAGTAAATTATCTAACCTGGCCAAGTTCTATGCATCTTTGATTGCTAATGGAGCACTTAGTTTAGCGGTATTAAAGAGTGTTAACTTTATGTCTATACAACGAAATGGTCGTATTTTCTTGGAGGTCTTATTTGCCAACTTACTATTACAGTTACACTCTGGTGGTGCCCAAGCAATTGCAAACGTATTTGGTAAAATTCTTGAATTGCGTACTTTAGCTCAAGGATGTAACTTTTTCATGTTGGAAACAATTACACATGGCCGACATACTGGTCTTGGGGAGAGTGACCTAGAAAAGGTTCGATGGAGCTGTAAGATAGCAAGAGAAGTACTTAATAGTAAATAATATGAATAAAAAAAAATGATGTTAATTTATGTACACAATGTTCATGTAAGCTTTAATTATTTTTTACATAATCTGTCTTGTGGTATATATATTAGGTAATCCTAGAGTATAATGATCCATAATATATGCATTGTATATGTAATAAAATCCTAGACAATATTACAATGTAAGAAACAAAGTACAATGATGTACTATTCCTTTCAAATAAATAAAGCAAAATTACACACTTGTAAAAGCAATTTTTTTTTTTTTTTGCTATTTTTTTTTTTTTTTTTTTTTTTACTCATTTCTTTATCTATAAAAAGCGTCCTTTTAGTTTTGTTATTTTTTTTTCTCTTTCTCTTTTGTTTATTTAATAATCACTGAGGCATATGAAGAACGCATTTTTGTTAATTTTTTCTATTCTTGTTGTTATTACAAAAGCTTATAATGTAACTAAATATTTATTATTATATTCATTTTATATATGTAAAAATTTATCTATTTATATAGAATCAATGTAATGATAATATTGTTGATTGTAAAGTGATCTCTATTATACAAAATATATACAATAATAAGAAATTTTCTAAAACCAATTTTCTTTCATTATTAGACTGGGGACAAAACTCTTATGGCGCTGCTAATATGAATGATGTATCTGGCTGGCAACAACCATTAAAATTCTATTGTGATGACGACACTATTGATGTTTTTCCCATTGCATTCTTAACTCATTTTACCGGTGTAGGCGGCAAACCTCAAATCAACTTGGCAAATGTAAATAGCTTCTTGTCTCTCTCTTTTTTTTTTTTTCTTTTTTTTTTTGCTGCTATTATTTTATTCATATATGTATGCATTGTTTTAGTATTGTAATAGTGTTGACAACGGAACTTTTCCAGGAACCAATTTAGCTAAATGTCAAAATATCGCATCTGATATTAAATATTGTCAAAGTAAAGGTAAATTAGTTACCTTATCTTTTGGTGGAGCTACTGCTGGTGTAGGATTTCAATCAGATAATCAAGCCTCTGACTTTGCTGACACCATTTGGAATCTTTTTCTTGGTGGTAATTCTGATAGTCGTCCATTTGGCAACGCTATTCTTGACGGGTAATAATAAAAATAATAGTATATATGAAGTCAGTATGGAGTAGATTATAATTCCTTTTATTTTATTTTTGAAAGTATCGATCTCGACATTGAGGGTGGTGGACCTAACCGTAAGTAATGATAATATAGTATGTGTTCTGATCAATAAAAATAGCTAATTTTTTTTTTTTTTGGGTTATAGATTATGTAACCTTCCTTAATAAATTGAATTCCTATTTTAAGTCTTCTAGTAAAAAATATTATGTAACGGCTGCTCCTCAGTGTGTATACCCTGATGCCAATCTTCAGATTACTTTAAATGGATACCCATTTGATGCTGTTTATGTTCAATTTTGTAAGTTTGATCGTATGTTAGTTTATAATTTATACAGTGGCTTTAATGCATTACATATATATATATATATATATTGTTATTGTAATAGACAACAATCCTTGTGGGCTTCAGAACTTCAATACACCATCACAATGGAACTTTGGTATATGGGATCTATGGGCTCGCACTATCTCTCCTAACCCTGATGTTAAAATATACATTGGTGCCCCTGCCAGTAGTTCTGCTGCAGGTGGAGGATATGTTTCTGCTGACACACTTGCTAGTATTGCTATCAAGACTCGAGATAGTTTTCCTAGTTTTGGGGGTGTTATGTTCTGGGGTAATAATCACAAAAAAAAAAAAAAAAAAAAAAAATAATAAGCTAATCATTATATATATATATATATATTTCAATAGATGCTTCTCAAGCTTACATGAATAATCGCATTGATTCTGCTTTAAAGAATGCTCTTAAATCAGGAAGGAGATGTAATAATAACTTCATATATCCAGCATGCACTGCACCAGTCTGGATGTCTGGAAATAACTATCCTAGTGGAAGTCGAGTTTCTTACAAGTTAGTATTCTGTTTATTTTTTATATTAAATTATAATAGCTATTTAACCTTTTTTTTTTTTCTAATTTTAGTGGGTAAATATATCTAAATTTAAATTTGTTAAATTTTTGAACTAATCATTACTGCATTATTGATACTAATAGCTATATGTGGGTTGTAAGTTAAAATATAATATGTATATATAAAATATAATCGTATAACTGACTTATACTCCTGTAGGCTAAATGGTTTGCTAGCTCAGCACCCTCTAGTGATGTAAATGGTGATTGGTCTCCAGGTAAAAAAAAGAAAACTTTATAACTGTATTAAGTAACAATTTTAATGTAAAAAAAAAAAGTAAGCGCATGCTCTAGTAATGGAGGAGATGTGACTACAACTACAAAGACGATTGTTACTACAACTACTAGTAATAAACCTTCAACAACAACAACAACAACAACTACTACTACTACTACTACTACTACTACCGCCAAGACAACCACTAGTACAACTAGCATTGCTACTCCTACTAATGGTTGCTCTGGTGTTAGTTCATGGTCTCCCACTACGACTTACACTGCAAATGATAAAGTTATCTACCAAGGCTCAGTCTGGAAAGCTAAGTGGTGGACATATAATGATACTCCTGGAGGTTCGAATATAGTTTGGGAGAAATTAGGTGTCTGTTCTACTACTCTGTCTTCTAGGTCTTTACAAAGTACATAAGAAAAAAAAATTATCTTCTCTTATTCTTAATCATGAACCACTATTTTTTTTTTTTTAATAGTTCCAATTCATAATAGTAACTGTACACATTATTTAAGATGGAATAGTGCTCGAACCTATATTACTGGTTCCAAAGTTGTTTATAGGTGATTTTTTTTTCTTTTTTTGTATTTCAATGTGAATACTTATCTTTTAATTTAGGGGTTCTATGTACACTGCTACACGTTCAACTACTGTAAGCTGATTTTCTTTTTTTTTTTGTTAATGCCATGATTTATAACATCTCTTTTGATAATTTATAGAATGAACTTCCTAATAGTTATTCCAAAGCTTGGAAAAAGGATTTTGAATGCTCGAAAAAGGAAAAATAATCTTGCAAAAAAAAAAAAAAAAATGTATTATTTATTATCATAGATTGACTCTATTATTTACATATTTTGAATAAATAAACTGATGCCGCGTATATGATTCCATGTATTCATTTTATTGATGAAGACAATTTAATTATATATATATGAGTATGGAAAGAAGAGCTGTACAGAGCTACTATGTATTGCGCATATCTATATTAATTTCTTTTTTCTACATTTATAAAGTACAATTTTTAGAAGCTAATTGGCCAATAATATTCACTACATCTTCACAGTATCCAACATTATATTTTGCTAATGTTTCTTTGGGCAAAGGACCAACATAAATACAAAAAGCCCTTTCATCGTTTGCAAGAGCATTAAACATATCCTCATCTGTATGATCATCGCCAACACACATAATAAATTCTGGCTTTTGTTCTTCTTTAATATATTTCACTATTTCACCTTTACTAACTGTTGAAGATCGAATTTCCAAATTCATTTTATTAACCAAGATACTTGCGCCAGGGATTTTCAAAAGCTCTTCATGAAACAAGTGTGATTGTTTTAGACTAGATGAAAAGTTTTAAGTATGACTTATTTTATCTTTTTTTTTTCTTTTCTTTTTTTTTTGTTAATGGCATTCACTTACGCCTCTTCAGGATTAACAGCATTACGATAATGCCAAGTGATAGATGACTTTTTCTGTTCAATCACTGTACCTGGATTCCTTTTGGTATATTTTTCAAAAATTTCTAAAACGTCATCTTTCCAAGACATATCCGTATCTCCAAGCATGTCACTCCAATCATTTGATTCTGGCTTCTTTATAAACGATCCATGTTCTGAACTGAATCCTAAACGTGGAATATGTCCAAGATGAGTATCTAAGAAATGTTGATCTCTACCAGAGATAACCCAAACAGAGTTTAAAGGATCTTTACATAGTTCCTGAAGATTATGTAGCAAAGTGGGTGCTGGCTTAGCATCAGCGGGTTGACTTACAATAGGCGTTAAAGTTCCCTAATACAAATTTTTATTCAAAATCACTTTAGTAAACAATGGATCAATGAAATAACAGTATGTGTTGCTGGGAAAAAAAAAAGCAATGGAAGCCAACTTACATCATAATCGAACAGAAATAAACGTTTATGTGTATTTTTATATGTATTATACAAAACTGATAGATTTAAAGGTTGGGTATGTTTGGAGATCATACAGGTACAAATGTAAAAGAAAGAAAAGAAAAGAAAAGAAAAAAAAAATGTATAATGTGTGAGATTAGTTTCAGGTTGAAAAAGAAAAATAAATAAACAACTAAATAAATAAATATAGGAAACTGCATCTTTTTTTTTTTTTCTTTTTTTTCCCTGTTGTTTTCAAACTCCAAAAAATGCCACAGTTTCAAGAGATTTTCTAAATTAAAAAAAAAAAAAAAAATAATTACCGAGATATTATTCAATACTTCAGTCATATTAGTATGGCTTGTTTAGAAGAAGAGGATCAATATCAATTCCGTTATTAGGTATTTTAATTTTGAATAAAGTAAGCATTATTAGGACAATAGCCGGTAGTTGTACCATCAATGTTAGATGACGTACTTAATACATTCACGCGTTCCGAGTTTCTATGTTGAAATAAACATTTTTGGGTAAATTAAATACATTATTTTGGTAAAATAAAAAAAAAATAAGGAGCAATAGGATTATAGTTTATTCAACAGCATTTAGTTACTAGGAAACTTTTATAGATTAAGGTAACATTCCTTATGCAGCTTAGCTTAGTATTATCAGGGCAAACAACGATAAAGTATTTCGATACTAGTTGATGCTTTTATGCAAAATTCTTTTTGGGAATAAACTTGATTAATTATCCCCGAAATATTAGACATGGTTTTTTTTTTTTAAGAAAGAGAGAAAGAGAAAGAGAGAGGAATAATGATAATGCTTACATAATTACTGAATTACAACTACCATTTTTCTTCCTACCTGCAGTTTTAAAGCCCTACATGCTGAACCTTTAAAATTTATTGGAGGATCCAGCACATGTATTATCTATAAATGTATAAAATGTTTCAAAGATGATCCTTGAAATAGTATTTTTTTTTTGCAAACGCAGTAAAACTAGAAGTTTTAATATACTATTAAGTAATAAATTAAAAAAGAAATAGAATAACAATAATGATAAAGTGGATATATAAAACTAGAATGGAGAAGATAATAAAAAAGAAAAAAAACTTTCTGAGGGACAAGAGGAAAAATAAAATGAAAATAAGTAAAATATTAGGGAAAAATAAAAATAAAAATTGCTAGTATCATTAGAAAGACGGCTATTTTACCAGTCAGGAACAACTAGATAGCGGAGAAAAAAAAAGTATAGATGCAAGGTGAATAGCCATACCAACAAAAAAAGGCTGTTCAATGAGCGGCCTTCTACAAGAAACTTTATTCAGGATGATCTTTAATGGAAAACGGCGGCTGAAGGTGACGGTGTACATGAAGATATTCGAACAAATGTAATAACTGAGGGCAATTCATGTTTTTTTTTCTTTTTAGATAATAAAGGTAAGGCTTGGGTTAACCAGTTAGAGTATGTGTGTAAAGTAGAATTGTGCTCATTTGGAAAGCAAATAAGTTAGACAAAGAAATATGCAATGACTGCAAAATGTAACTATTTTCTTGCTTGAGGTTAGTATAGAAAGGCTTGTTAATGATTTCTATGAGCTTCCATTCTTATGATTGGCAAATTGGAAAATTCTTTTAATATTGTGTGAGTTTCACCTTATGAAGTTCTCTCCTGGTAGAGTAATTCGAGTGTTTAATGATTATAGAAGGAAGTGAGAATATTCCATCCTTCAAGTAAATTCATTATATAAGTTGATGCTATAATTCTTCATAGTTTTTATCGCGACGCATGACTTGGAGACGTACTTTTTTTTTTTTTTTTTTGCTCTTGTTTTATGCTAATATAGCAAATAATCTAGTTTAAATAGAAAACGTGTCCTGAAGAATTCTTTATTATTATATCTTTTATAAAAAAAATCTTTTTTGATCAAGTATAAAAGCTTTAGTTAGATGATCAAATTAAAAGAAAAAAAAAATATCTTTAAAAAAAGAAAAAAAAACGCGTTTACATTTACTGTAATCAAGTATAAGGTTTTAACACAGAAATACCCCATTTATATAATAATACGTTCAACCCCATTTAATACAATTCTAGTTCATTAACTTTTAGGATGCATTTATAAAAAATTGAATCTAAAGCATAAGCACCAAGAAGATGAATACTGTACTTTTTATTTGAATGTATTATCAGCTTTGTATTATTAAGCAAATTGCTGAAGTATTTTTTTTTTTTGATCTATCCAATCAAATATGAATAGGTCTCAAAAGAGAAAAAATAAATAAACATACTTTATTTAATACTTACAATATGAATGAGACAGTTAAGTTTGGAAAGTTTAACATCTCAAAAGATGAAGTTTTTTATGAAAGTGAATATTCTATGGGTATTGTTAATTTAAAGCCCATTACACAGTAATGTATTGTCACTCGTGAAACTTGTAGAATCTAATTACTAATTTGTTACATGTTTATAATAGAGGACGTAAATGGCATTACATTAAACAATTATTTGATGCTCATTTTGTTTCTAAAGCTTTTACATGTATTTATATATAGATGTTCTTGTTGCCCCAAAGAGGAATGTTTCAAGATATTCTCTTCTTAGTATTGAGGAAGTAAAAATTAAACATATATAGTATTGTCATAATATATATGTATATATATTTTTTCAAATGTAAAGAATATAGTGATTTATGGTTTTAAAGATTATAGATCTTACCAATTCAGCTAGGGAAATTTGTGAGGTTCTTAAGGATGAATATTTGAACATGAAACAAGGCTATATATGGCTGATTCAGGATGGAAAAGAAGCAGGGCAAACAGTAAAGAACCTGTTGTACAATTAAAAAAAAAAAGTATTTATTTATTTATTTTGATAGGTTCCACATGTTCATTTACATATTATACCAAAAAGATTTTCAGAATGGTATCAAAGTGGTGGTGTAGAAGACCAAGATAGAATACCTAGATCCATAGATGAAATGAAAAAAGAAGCAAGTCGATTAAAGATAATGTTTAAAAAATAATAGAAGAATCCTTCTTATTAACAATAATGAAGAACTAACAAGCAGTTTCTTATTAACTTTAGTGAGTAAATAAGAGACATATTGAACAAATATTTTCTTTCTTTTACCTCTATTCACTACCATTAAAAAAATGAACCAATAGGGCATCAGACGCTTTTTGTTGGTGTTGGTGGGATTTGTTCAATATTTTGAGTTGTGCTGTGAATTGTTGGTATTGGACCTCTAAGTTTTTGAGGCGTTTGTCAATTGATTTGTTGTGTTACGAGTTTTTTTTTGAATTGTTGTATCTTCTGTAGGTCATTTATTAGCTCTTTCCTATTAAATACAGCCATTTTATTACTGTGAGGAAGGCTGTCTACAACAATCTTGTTAGTTTATTATTTTCATTGAATTATATTTTTCAAGAAAGCCACAAGATCGTTTCTATTTGTTGAAAGTCCAGCAAAAGTGAACACCACAAGACACGCTTTTTTATAAAAAATATATCTCAACATATCTGAAAAACTTTAATGTTAGTGGTGTGTGTGTGTGTGTCTTAAATGAAAAAAAGATAAAGAAGGAGAAATAGAAAAAAGGCAAGTGCGTGCAGTTTTATTGAAAAGAAAAAATAATGCAAAAATTGTACAAAAACAATAATATGAGAAAATAATAAGGGCTATTTATATGCAAAATAAGTGACATTAATAGAATAACTGAACATTAGTACAGCCATTACAATGGATTAACAAATATGTGTCGGCAGTCGAGAAATAACTGTCGTAAAAGAAATTTCAATTTGTCGTTTTAGGGAAAGCGTATTGTCGCAAAGGTTTTTTTGGTAAATTTATTAAAATTTTTTAGAGAGGTTCTTTATAATTTTGTTATGGAACAAGCTCTGGATATAAGCACAAGTAATATAATAAAAGATGGATTGCATAATACAGGACGAACTATAAGCCTGAACATATAATAATAAAAGATATCATATCTTTTGTACACTCTTTGAAACTCTATTTCTTTCTTCTCTTTAAAGCCATTATTCCTTTCAAACTGTTCAAAACCTAAAGAGTCTTGTTATCATGATCATCATAAAAAAGAGCTCAATTGCCGTAGTACAGTAATAAGAAAGCTTACAGCCTAACTATTTAAAATGCATAAACTGCCAAAAATATCTTGTACAATTGAAAATAAAACTGCTGTATAAAATGACATTTTTTATATTATTGATTGCTTATCTACTCTTATTTTTTTGAAGAATGTATGAACATCATGCTCTGTTGTGTAACTGCATTTGACTAGTTTTGGCTTAATTTCTTTACAAGAATGCTCAATAAATTCACATGAATAAAAATACATATAAAAAAAGTAAACAAACTTCTTCTTTTTTTTTTACTTTTTTGCTTACTTTCAAAGAAGACAGTAATACTTTACTACATTCAAATAAAAGGTAAAACTTATCTTTAAAGTATTAAAAAGAAAAGAGAAAAAAAAAGAAAAGGAGAAAGGCAGGAGAGAAGATTTAACGCAAAGTAAATTAAAAACAAAAAAAAAAAAAAAAATTGCTAAAATTTAACTTTAATAACTTCTCCTTTTGTTTATTTTTTTTTTCTCCTGAACTTTACTATAAAAAAAAAGTACATTTTTTCGTTTTTTTTTCCCTTTTTTTCTCTTTTCTTTTCTTTAGCTTTTTTTTATATTTTTCCTATTCTTCTTTATTTTTACTTGAAACTATGGGTAGACATTGTCAGGGTTATGAAGTGTGCTCAAGTCACATAGCTTGGCTTACTTGAGAGTGTAGAACTGTCCGTTTATAACATGGCTAAAGGAGAGGGCCTAGACTCTCTTTTGGTTACTACATGCATATCCGCCTTCACCTTGGGTTATTGCAACCTTAGATAATTGATGGGACCTTATCGAATTTTGACTGCTCAAGTTTGATTTATTTCCAAAGGAGGAGGGAAATAAAAAGGATACTTGGGGTTGGAAATTGTAAACCTGTTCCTTTTTTAGGGAGATTAGCGTACTCTTTGTCTGCACCATTGAAAGGGCTTATCTCAAGGTTTAGTTTTTCTGTTTTTCTTTTTGGAGGTTTTTCCTTCTTTTTATTTTTATCTAGTTGCTGTTTATAAAATAAAAATAGATAAGGATGCACAGCTTACGTTTCTGACCGTGGTTTTTTCATCTATTTATTTAGTTGAAGAATCCCAACTTGTATTTACTGTTAAGTCAAAAGTAGATGCTAGGGGTCAAAGAAGGGACATTCTCAGGTAAACAATAGTCAGGTCGTGCACTTCATGTATCTGGATTTCTTCCACTTCGCCACGCTACAGGTCAGAATGTTTAGCCCGGCTTCCAATGAAACTTACATCCAACTGTATTTTTTTATTGGGTTATGGGGTGAGGAATCCTATCTTTTTCTTCTAGCAAGGCTTGGGCCAGGTTGGACTTTGCCAAGTGTCTACTAGTTGAAATTGGACGTTTATCTTTCAAGTAGAAATTTAGAGGGAGAAGAAAAAATTACAGCCCGTATCAATTTGTGTATGGGTTGTAATATTATTTTTGGGATTAGATATGCTTTCACCTTCTCGTGGTTAATCCTGTTAGTATCAAGTCTCTTTTAAAAGAGATTTGAGAACTAAGAAAAGCATCTTTTTTTTATAATATTAATAAAAATGAAAAAAAAAACCAATTTAATAAAATCGCGTTCTACAATAAAGTTGCTTCTCTAATAATATTTTATTATAACAAAAGTGGTGAAAGACTCTAACAGCACAGTGTATAAATATTAAAAAGATTATTGTATATTTTCCCTAAGATTTCTTTCCTCTCGAGGTAAATTCTATATGGTTAAATAAATCCAGCATCACTAGAATGTACATTGTCAGAATAAGACTAAAACTAGCCAACATTCATAATGAGCATTCATAATCTGATTGCTGTACAAAAGACTATCCATCCTCAGAGAATAATTTGAAGTTGTTTCAAGCCCTGCCATCATAAATATTCATTATTCTATCTGGAAACAAACTAACTTTGGTTTTCAAACTAGTGATTTTTTTTTTTCAACAAGGAAAATTTTCTTAGGGTATTGAGTAGTAAGAACTGAAGGAAGGCTTCACCAATTCATCGAAAAGAAGTTGTTGAAATATCTTAGTCTTTGCAAAGGAATCTTATTTTTTTTTATTACAAATTTTCCACAAAGACAATCCCTTTACTCCTCAGAATTGTATCTACGGATGGTATAACGACACTTAATACAAGAAACATATTTTTGAAGTCTATCATGAAAACAAAATAGGTTGCCATTTGACATCACTTGTAAAACGTAACAATACGTTTTTGGAAAATAATATTGTTAGATACAGTCTTTTAGTGCGATGTTAATGAAGATTTTCATTGTTTTCAGGTTTTTGTCAGTTATATATTGCTCTTAGATGAGCATTGACTTCATCGTAAAGAATATAAAGGATAATTGCTCCTTCAGTGAATTTGTCTCATTATATGGATTAATTAAAGGAAATTCTATAAACTAACTAAAGTTGATGCACATGATGTGAACATACGTTTAATAAGGAACTATTGCCATCTTTTATTATGTACGGTGCTTCTTGCTATTCGCTAACTTTTTTTCATCATTTATATGTTGATGTACTCACTATTTATCGCTAACTTAAACCCTCCTACAATGCTTGACTTCTTCTTTTTTACTTATATTATAGAGTAAATTGTCTTAATGTTATCTTATTCACCTTAAATTACACTATAAAAAACTCCTTCAAAAGATCGTCTTAAAGAAAGAAAAAAAAAGTAGATCGCCAAGTTTTATTCAGTAATTAAACTATTTACCTGGCAAACTGTGTCGTCGTTGACTATAAAAAGTCTAGTTAACTATTATCGTAACATTACCCTCTTTAGGAATTTATATCTTTTTTTTAGCAGAGTAAGAAAGCCAAAGAGTATAATTCACGACCTCTAGTAAGAAGATGCTTATAATTCAATGTTACTATTGAACAGTACACAACATACTTAATAATGGCTTATTTGCTGGAGATCCAAGAGGAATTGGAAGGGCAATGATGGCCATAATAGAATATCATCTAAAAAAAAAAACTACACCATCAAAATGTATGTATTTTGAACTCTATACAACTTGATAATGAACCAGCAATGATCCCCTTTTTTTTCCTCGCTTTTTTGGGACAATGAGCCTTAAACTATAATGGTTGATAAGCTGAAAGGAATACAATTCAAGTTTAGTAGCCCCCAAATAAAAATGTTAATTTCATTTGTAACCTTATCCTTGCCTTACCTTGCTAATACTACTACTACTAATAATAATAATAATAATAATAATAAAGGAACCGTCCAAAGAGTGTCAATTTTGAAATATAAGACTACTACAAGTCAATTAGTGAATCAATAAAGAGGATTAGGAGTAAGAGACTTTAGATTTTAAGCTAGCTCGTATCCCTTGCTATCATATAAAATGTAGGGGCATGTGATAATGACATTGATAGATGGTTGCTTGAAAAAGGGTTGAATAATAGAAACCACATGAGTACACATATCACTTGGAAATTGAGTTGATAATAAATTATTAAAAGTAATCCATTGTAAAAGTTATGATCACGCTTGTAAGGATAGTAAATAGTAGTCGGGTCATTGTAGTTGACGGGTACAAAAGTATTAAATGAGTAAGGATGATTGACAGTTTCCTCACTGTCTCGTGCAATATATCGCGGGATGATTTGTTTACAAGTGAAATAACATCTTTTTCTTTTCTTTTTTTTTTAGACAAAGTTGATCTGTGACAGCTTCAACTGTTATGGTTGGCTCATTGGCTAACATTTCAAAAATAAAGACAGTGTTTTAAATGCAAAAGATAAGGAAAGAGAAAACAGAAAAGACAAGTCTGTGAAAACTCTGTATAGTTTATTAAGAAAAAAAGAAATAACATAGGAAAATAACAAGGGCTATTTATATGTTTTTTTTTACAAGGTAAGTGATATGAATAAATGATTACTGGTATAATAAAGCATTATACATAAATATTGTTTCCAAAT